GTAATTCTTTCTATGCTGTCTGACTCTGTGTGCTGGGGACAGCCTTCTTTGTTGGCTGGCTGGTGTCCAAGTCACTCAAAGTACAGACTGACCATAGAACTTGTGGTCTTCAGCTCAGAATGGAAAAGGGGAAGATGCAGCTAAAACAGTAAAGAGAAAATAACGATGAATGGCAATAAACAGTGAAACAAACTTCTTTCTCCAGGGATAGGAAGGGCAAGACAGGGTTAGACAAGAGGCTGGTTGCTGTGTATATATCATTTACGCACAGACATACACACACACATACATATCAGTAGATGATAGGGCCTTAGAGCAGATTTGTCAGCCAGACATCCCAGTGAGAGATGCCAAACATACAGGAAAGAACTTTTGCTGCAGAATGAGAGCAGGCTGGCAAGTAAGCAATTTGGGTGTCTTGGGCTACATGCTTGGGGGGGCTGCAAGAGGGGTGCTTGTGTGTGTTTGGGGTCAATGTTGTATTCCTGCAGCGAAGGGAGAAATGAGGAGGAGGGGAGCAGCATGGAAGGAAGAGGAGGCATCTCCAGAAACTGTTCTGATGTCTGTTGCCTGCTCCCCAGACAGAACCTCCAGAAAGCTGGAGCAGGATCTGCCAGAGGTCAGTGCTGGCTGGCCAGGAGGTATTTGTAGACACCTGACTGAGGGCTATGCTGTCCCAGGTTGCACTGTGATGTGACCTTCCCACTGAAGCACTAGGTCTAATTTCTTTCCAAACACCCCAGTTGTTGCCTCCTTCACTGATGCTCCCCAAGAATGGTAAGGTTTGGCCTGTAGAACAGTCATGATGTGTACAGGCAGGAATGAGAAAGGATGCATTATACTTTCCCAGGACTGTGTATTAGTCTGTGCTGGGTGAAACACTGCACATTTTTTTCCAGTCCTGTTTATCTGGCCAAGGCAGAGACAGGTGCAGTGCAAAGTATTTTTTCCACTTTATTTTCCACTATCCCCAGCTCTCAGGGGACAGAACCAACCCTTGGCATACTGTGGGCCAAGCAGGATGAAACACACACCTTTCAGCCCAAGACAAGGATCTCTGAAGCAAGGCTTTCAAAAGAAAAATAAAAAGCCCAAACAAAAATTAGGGAGAGCTGTCGTGCTCGATTTGCATATTTGAATATGCAGATCGGATCTGTTTCTTATCCATTGGCACTGGCCCTACTGTAGATGGCAGCAACACAGCAGATCTCTGCCAGAATACAGTGCCACAAAGAAAGACGCTAATTGGATTTGCAGACGCTTATTGCAAAACCCAGAAGTTGCTGGAATAGATATAAAGAAACAGGAGCTCAGCCCACGGCTGCCTTGGGTGTGAAGGCACTCAGCTGGCAGCTCGTTAGTTTGAGATGTCCCTACAAAATTAGAAGTTTGGAGGAGCCTGGGTGGCTGCTGGCTACACCTTCCCCAGCACAACCAGCACCTGAAACTCCCAACACTCTCTCCTGTAGAGACTTCCAATTTTTTTTACCCTTGGCTGCAGGGTGTTTCTTTTTTTTGTTTGTTTGTTTGTTTTATTTTTTTGAGCTTCAAAAGAAAATTGGGGGTGAACTTGATCACTCATTGGGCTGGAAACTTCAGAACAGGAAAGTGCTGGTGCAGCTAATGCTGGTTACAGGAATTTCTCTCCTAGAGTGCTTTCACAGTTGCATGTGAAGAAGTATTCTGGCACACTTTAAGCTGATCCACTCACATGGCTCCAGGGGTGCTGTTTTGGAGCATGCATCAATATAATGACATGCCTTCTCTGAATGTGGCACCCCAGCTTCTTCAGTACAACGCAGCTTCATGGCCAGGTATTGGAGTACCTCTCTAGGTGCTTTTCCCTCCTGAGGAAGTGGAAGCTGAGAAACCTAATCCAGGGTTTCCCATCCCTGATTTGGAAGTGCTTGGGTCCCATCCTAGGCCACAGACAAGCTGGAGCAGTTACTTGCATCCTAGCCAGCAGACGTAAATATAGATGGAGAAATGCAGTGCTAAAGTTGGAGGTCAGCCGGGGTCCTGCACCAGGAGAGCAACGAGCTGGGGAAAAACAAAGGCATCCAAAAATTGTCACCAATGGGAATCAAAATTAAAACAAAAACTAATGAAGTTGCACAGGATGTAACAGACAACTTTGTGGGAAAGAGAAAAGTTCAGGGTCTTGTGTGTCTGAGCAACACTTCTTGCATTTGGACCAAATTCAACAGAATAAGAGTGCAGTCAAGCTCTCCACTCGTGGAAGAGGGAGACGTTCAGGAAAGATCCAGCCTCAGGAGCTGGTAACAAGTAAGGGCTGTGATGAGGCTGAGAATGAATAGTAAGGACTGGGAGTTAGGAAATAAAAGATTTAGCTCTAAGAGTCATGTGCATGGGAATAATGTCCACAATTAAAGGTATCAGTGAGAACCCCCAGAGAAAGAGGCCCTGTCTCAACAGAGAAGAAAAGAGACTGTCCAAGGAAATGTCTCTTGGGCCTGCATCAGACAGGAACATGGAAAATTAGAACTGGAGCGCTTAAAAGAAGAATCCAAATCAGGCTCTTTTTGTTGTTGTTGTTAACTGAAGCGATTAAGCATTTTGCTTTACTAATATCTTCTATCAAGCAGATGAGGTAAACTGGCTCTTTAGAATGATTTGGGAACTGACTAATCCTTGCCTGTGGCTATCAGTTAGCAACACACACAGCATTATTGGCTAACATGCATTTTTCTGCTGCCTTACAAAGATCAACAAACTATTTCAAGAAACCCGCATGAAGAAAAATTCTGCTTTCCTCCTAAGAGAAAATTTGCTCAGAAACAGCCACAAATTGCACTTGTAACGGCAGCCCTCCGTTAGTTTAAGGCTCACGAAATCGAGCGAAACAACTTATCATTGAGAGTCAGGAGAAAACGTAAACAAAACCCCACTTTTCAGATGCAAATGTCGCGCTCGAAGTCAGCGGCGGGGCTGAGAAAACCGCGTTTGCAGGCCGGGCGGCTGCTAACGATGCCTCGGCCGCAGCCAGCGGCTCCTTGCTCAGCCAGGACGGTGACCTCCGGGCTCGTCACACAGCTGAGCCCGCGGCTGAGAACCGCCGCCTCTCTGAAGGAATCCCTCGGAGCATTTGCATTGCAAATCCGCTCGCTCCGGGCCAAAGCCGGGATATTGTTCGCCGCCGAGGGGCTCCGCGGCGAGCACCCCTCGCTTCCCCCCGGTCTCTACCGCGGCGAGCCCCGGGCAGGGCGACCCGCGGCGCCGGCCGCCTGGGGACAGGGGAGGCCGAGGGAGCCGGGGGGGGTGGAAGCGGGAGAAATGGGGGGAGCCGGGGGGGGGGGGGGGGGGAAACGAAGGTGCGTGAAGGAAGAAGGAGGAACAAAGAGGGGAAGAGGGGGAGATGGAGCGGGGGGAGCGGCCGAAGGGAACGGGGGACACCGAGGGAAAATGAAGGCGCGTGAGGGGGGGAGCGAGGGAGACCGAGAGGAAAATGAAGGAGAAAGGGGAGAAAATGAGGGCTATTGAGGGAAAATGGGGGACATTGAGGGGAAATGAGGGACCCTGAAGGAAACTGAAGGTGTATGAGGGGAGAATGAGCGAGACTGAAAGGAAAATGAAGGAGAAAGGGGAGAAAATGAGGGCTAATGAGGAAAAATGGGGAACGCTGAGGGAAAATGAGAGAAACTGAGGGGAAAACGGGGGATTGAGAAGTAATGTGAGGGTGTGTGAGGGGAAAATGAGGGAGATCAAGTGGAAAATGACAGGGAAAGGGAGACAAATGAAAGATATTGAGGGAAAATGGGGGACACTGAGGGGTGACGAGAGAAACTGAGGGGAAAATGAAAGGAAATGAGTGACAGCAAGTGAAAACAAATGAGACTAAGGGAAAAGGGGTACACTGAAAGAAAATGAGGGATAAGGGGGTAAAATTAGGGAGACTGAAAAATAGTGAGGAAGATTAATGATAATAAGAGGAGATGAGAGAGCAAGCGGGAAAATGAAGTAGAGCAAGGGAAAATGGAACTGCAAGAAAAATGGCAGACATTGAGGAGAAATGAGGGAGAGCAATGGGAAAAACAGGGAGATGTCAAACAAGGGAGCGTGAAGAAGGAGGGAGAAATAGGGAAAATGGGGGACATGAAGGGAAAATGAAGGACAGTAAGGAAAAAATGATGGAGACTGAGGGGGAACATGGGAGAACGAAGGAGATATAGAGAGAAATAATGGAGACAGGAAGAAACAACGGGGAGAGATGGAGGGAAAATGAGGCAGGAGACGAAGGGAGAATAAGGAAAACCAGCAGCTGAGGGAGCACGGTGCCGCTGGCTTCCTCCCCTGTATGCGCTTAGCCCTGCCCAGCCATTCCACACTGCAGTCCGCTGTACCGGGCCCAGCGGCTTCACTTGTTCTCAGCTCATTTGTGTAGGAAATTAATAAACGGGTGAGATCCGCAGCCGCCGGCGGCTGGGATGAATAGGACGACACAGGCAAAGGGGCAGCTGGGGCACGCAACAAGGCCTAAACACCACAACTAGCACCGGCCAGCGGCCAAGCAGTGCCCTGCTAAGGGGTATTAAGGGACGGGGGCGTGGAGCGGCTCCGGTAACGCCGCCGGGGCCGGGGCCCGGGCAGGAGAGCGCCGCAGCACGGCAACCGCCATGGGAGGCAGGCGGGAGGGTGGGGGCAGGGGGAGCTGAGGGGGGCGGTGAGGCCCCGCCTCCCACTCCCCGCTTGACCCATCGGGAGGCCCGCCCTTTCCCCGCCCCCTCAGCACCCTGCCCGCCTCCCATTGGGTGCTCCCCCCGCCCGTCAAGAGGAGGCGGGGGAGTCCGGGAGCTCCCGGGCGGAAGCCCCGCCCAGAGGCGGGAAGCGGCGCTGCGGTTGGCGGAGGGCGGTGTCCGTCTGGCGGCGGCGGTTTCCGCTTCCGCGGGGCGGGCGGCGGGGTGGGGGGGGGCGGGTGGTGGCGGCGGGGCTGGTGCCTGTGAGTGACACACAATGAGGCGGGCGGCGGGGCCGTGAGGGGCTGCGGCCGAGGAGGAGGGAGGAGGAGGAGGAGGAGGAGAGGAATCAGCAGCGAGGCTGTGGGGAGGGGAGGGGGGGTGGGGGGAGAAGACGAAGGAAAAAAAGGGGGGGGGATCTGAGGGCCCCCCCCGCAGACCGGCAGCCGAACCGCCGCGGCGGGCAGCGAGCGAGCGAGCGGGGCCCGCAGCGCTGCGCCCAGCCATGGACAATCAGGTGAGGGGGGCGGCGGGGCCGTGCTGCTTGGGGGGGGAAAGAGGAGGGGGGGGTCCTGGGCGCCTCCCCCACCAACACACACACAGGGGGATGGGACCCCAGCACAGGGAGAGGAGGGGGCTGCATCGCCCCTGCAGGAGCTGGCAGCATCGTGCCCTCCCCCCTTTTCGGATAGCCCCCCTCCCCCCCTTTTCGGGTAAGCCCCCCCCTTTTTCGTCCCCTCCCCCCTATTTCGGGCATCCTCCCCTCTTTCTCCCCCCCCTCCCTTTTTGCCCCCCCACCTTTAGGGCACCTCCCCCTTTCCTTGCCTCCTCCCCCCATTCCGCCCCCCCCCTCCCTTTTCGGGACCCCCCCCCCCCATTTCGGGCAGCCTCCCCCTCCCTTTGCCTCACCCCTTTCCACTCTTTTTTTTTTTTTTTTTTTTTTGGGGGGGGGGGCGTTGGGGGGGCTGCTGAGCCCTCGCCCCTTCATGGGTGGCCGCGCTGCAGCCTCACCCCGGCGGGGGGTGGCCCCGCGCTTCCCGCACGTTCCTGCCCCGGGTTCCTTCCCGGGGGGGTGGTGGCGGCGGGCAGCCCCCGGCAGCGCCGCTGCGGTGCCTCGGCAAGAGGAGGAGGAATGCTGGAAGTTCACCTGGGCTCGCCACGGCAGGCTGGTGCAGGCCTTTTGTGTGCGAAGCTGGCGTGCGGGCTGCTAGTAGGTCACCCCCGGGCTGGCGAGGTAAGGCCCGCTATCCCGTGAATAATAACCCGAAGGAGACCGAATGGAGACTGGTCATGGCTTTCAGGCAATTAGCGCATCAAACAAATACCAGAGCGCGCTACAGAGCGTTTATTAAGTTGAAAAGCAGCCTCCTTTGTATTATTACAAATCGTTTGACTAGGATCCTGGTTTCCCTTTGTTGAGAGACATGCTTGAGGGAAAGAAAAAGAAACACTCCATTTTCAGTGGAGCAACTTTGGATGTTTGTTATGTTGGGAGATCTTATTTTCAAATGTGTTTCAACTTCTGGCTTAATTCGTAGAGATTGTTAATTGGACCGGTATGTGAGAAGTATAGCAAGTACAACTTTCACTCTCAGCTAAACAGTTCTTTTTTTTTTTTTTTTTTTTAAATGTTTAATTTTGTTCTCTTCCACATAGTCCCATCTGTTTCTCAGCTAAAATTTCTCATCCGTTTCAACTAGAATGGCAAATTCTGTAGAGTGACAGCCATTTGCACTTCTTGGGAGAGGGCTAGTAACTGGCAACAGTAGCAAAATTTAAAGGGTAATGATGGAATTGATAACATGAGGCTGCAGAACAGACTGGATCAGTTGATGCAAATGCCTGCCTGAGCAGTGGGACGTTCCCAAAAAAAGTGTGCCCATGAGCACCCTCCAAGGTGAGCCCAGACTGTTGGCAGACTGTCTCTGCACTTACACCCAGGGAAAGATTGTGGCACTTTGAGCCAAACACCTTGCCTTTTTCTTAGTCCGTAACGTGGCATGGAAGAACAGGCGGCCATGCAGCGTTGGTTTTAGTGCAGGAGTGAGATGGAGCCAGTGTAGATGAGCCCTAACGCACAAAAGAGGGAAAATGGCCTGCCAAGAGGGCTTGCAGAGGAAGGAAATCTAAAGCAATGTTTCACTAAAACAGGTGAAGCAATTGATTAGATGAGTTTGTCCCTAAGTGTTAGTGTTGATGTGTTGGATGGTGGCTGGGGCTATTTTACTGTAAAGATAATTGCTTGAAAGGCCGTGCTAAGGTTTATAGTTGAAATTAGCACTGGACTATAATTTGGGAGATCAGGCTTTGATGCCTGGTACTCTGTGATCCTTCTACCAAGAAAAAAGCGTACAGAGATTAAGTGACTTGGGCTTTTTCAGAAAGTATTAACCATACTCTGAAAATCATACTCTGATAAAATGTCAGGCTGGACATGGAAAATGGTTTTTGAGCATTAATCGTGGTTGTGTTTTCTCTTGCAGTTTCTCAGTGAGAAAATAAGGGAGAAAATTTCAGTGAGAAAATGCTTTCCCTAAGCATTTGTCTGGAGCTTGGGAAGCTTTCGGTTTTTATTCATTGTTTAACGTCATGCCCTCAGGTTGGGTCTGCGTCCACTTGTGTTACAGATAATGACAAATAATGTTGCCTCTCTTAATTGGGAACTGCCAGAAAGAACAAGGCATTATTTTCAAGTCTGAGGTGAAGAAGGATGTAAGGATTAAAAACCAGCCCTCTCCACTCCCCCATTTTTAATAAACTTCCAGTTACTGAAGCTGAATTTGGTTGTTTAGTTTGAGATGGCTGTGCTGCTGGTCTAGTTTGTATAATGTGTGTGCACAAAATTAACCCAGTAAGGAGTCAGATATGTTAGGTGTGATTCCATCATCTAGAAATTGTGCCCTAAGATTTGTTTGCTGTAACTTGTGTCTGAATCTTACTTGCTTTTTCCTCTGTTACATCTTTTTAATTCATTTGCTTTTTTCTGACTGTGAAGTCACCAAGAATGTGTGCATAAACACAATTTAATTTAATCTGTTTTTTAAGACATTTAATAGGATTTTTAAAAAAATAAAAAATTCTTAGACACTGAATACACCTTTCCTGCTTCTGTTCCTCTCTGATTAGAGTAAGATTTGAGCCTGCAAATCAGAATTAGGTCATTTAAGTATCGGATATTGTGCAGATATAATATACATTGACTTTGTGAAAGTGTGTTAATAAAATGTATTTAGAAGAATGAAGGATTGTAGCTGTGTTCTACTGAATTACACATTCCTGACAATATCAAAAGCCACCAATTTCTGACTTGATTTTTCCTGTTTTAAGATTAGTTTTCTGTTAGCACTGTGAATTCTGTAAGCTGAGAACATCAAGTTCTCTCTCTGACACTTTCTAGAAATAAAAATTCTGCAATTAGACTTTGCCGACAATGTATTTGATAAGTGAGGCAGATAAACCTATTCCTCTTCTACAGCTGCTTTCTCTGCAGTGTTAATATTAGGGGATAAATAGGTATGAAGTGGTGCTAAGAACTATTTTTGGTACCTTTTCTGGTTGCCAACACCAGTCTTCAGAATGAGACTAATCTCTTGGTGGAGGCTGTTGTATTCTTCCCCTGTGCTTATCTAGTGTCTTCTCTCTGTGGGGCTCAGCATTAGCCATCCCACGTAATCTGTTCCATTTTGCTTATGGTCTTACCTCTGTCCTCAAACAGTGCACGGTTCAAGTCAAATTGGAGCTGGGGCACAGAGCCCAACTGCGGAAAAAGCCCACCACTGAAGGGTTCACTCATGACTGGATGGTGTTTGTCCGTGGCCCGGAGCAGTGTGACATCCAGCACTTTGTGGAAAGGGTGGTCTTCCGCCTACATGAGAGCTTCCCAAAACCCAAGCGAGGTGAGTCAAGGTTTGAAGATGGGTTATTGGGTCTTCTGTGTGAAACAGCACTGTGCGGTGTGGGTTGTCTTGTTCCATCAGGTTTTTGTAAAATCTCCTCTTGAAGAACAAAATGTACATTGCGTGCATTTGTCTTAACCTTTACCATCTTTGTTTGAGGAAGGGCAGGGAGAACGGGACCTTTATTCTGATGAAAGGTTTGGAGGTGAGATGCTTTCTCTTCTGTAAGCATTAGTATATGCAGGTCCTCCAGACAGTGCCAGGTGATTCATGGTATAAAAGACGAAGGGGGAGTGGTTTGTTAATACTGGCCAACAAAAGCTGGAAGCATGCAATGGATGAGTGGCCTTCCTACAGGACTAGTGTATTTACTGGAGGAAGTACACTTCTGCATTGGTCCCTAAGTAGCTGTGAGGTTTTCTGCAGGGTTCCAGCACGGGTATTTAAGGCAATGGAATTCACTGCAGCCAGAGGGGGGTCTTCTGCCTCAGAACACTGCAGCTGCACGGGTGTGTGTGCACACTTTGTGCCCAGGGGAGTGCAACAAAGATGGTGAAGTGTCTGGAGGGGAAGATGTGTGAGGGGTAGCTGATGTCCCTTGGTTTGTTCAGCCCAGGGAAGAGGAGGCTGAGGGGAGGCCTCACGGCGGACTGCAGCTTTCTCACGAGGGGAGCGGAGGAGTAGGCACTGAGCTCTGCTCTCTGGGGACAGTGACAGGACCCGAGGGAACGGCATGGAGCTGGGACAGGGGAGGGTCAGGCTGGGTGTTAGGAAAAGGTTCTGCACCCAGAGGGTGGTTGGGCATTGGGACAGGCTGTCCAGGGCAGTGGGCACAGCACTGGGCTGTCAGAATTCAAGAAGCGTTTGGATACCTCTTGCAGACATGGTCTGATTTTGGGGTGGTCCTGTGTAGAGCCAGGAGTTGGACTTGATGAACCTTGGGGGTCCCTTCCAACTCAGGACGTTCTGTAATGTATTTGTGGTAAGTGCTGTGCAATCAGCAAGGCTGGGGGGCTGATCCAGCTGGGGAGAACATCAGAATTGTAATGTGACTTTGTGCTGGATCAATTCTTTGCTCTTCCTGACTGTGCAGCACCGTGAACCTTATTGTTTGCTTGGGGCGGCTGGAACGTGTGGTTGAGGTGGAGGAGCAGGAATTGCCCTTCTTGGCAGCAGCAGGTACTTAAATCTATTCAAGATTGTGTTAACTGCATCCGCAGTGTTGTTGTTACGTAGTGTTACCAGGAGTGCTGACTGCCTAGGAGTACCACTATAAATTACTTGGGAACGGGCGTTCTCTGAAGTACTTTTTTGGAAGACTGCTGGTTATGCAGGATGTCTTAGCACTACTTACTGTGTTGGTTATTTGTGAGAGTCCACAGTGGAAAACACCTGAGAGGTATTCATCTCACGAGGATGTGAATCTGGTGTGGATGTTAATATCTTCTTCAAACTGATGCTGTAAAACTGATGTATGATAAGGCAGTGCAGTACTGAACTGGAAGCTAATTTGTAGAACAGAAGTTACAATCTGCTGTGCTACAATTCTTGTCATCCAGTGTAATTACATTATTACAAACAACTGTGTTGGGATAGTACATTGTCTTTGCTCAGTAGGTTGCCATGTCATCTACCTTTAAAGAGAGAGTTTTCCTGTTTCCTAGATTTTTAAATGCTTTCTTAAGCTTTCTTATAAAGCGAGTATGCTTTTGACCAAATGGTGGATTGTACATAAATTGTGGGGCATATGCATACTATTTCTAGATCTGTTTGAAAGACTTCTTCAAATGATTCTCTCTTACTTGAAGCAAAATCTACTGGTAGGCTTGTGCTGCTGGCTGGTTGCTTGTATAGTAATTTGAATTTGTTAGAATAGGGCAGCAAAGGAACAAAGACTGCTTGGCAAATAAACTTAAGATTCCTGATGCTATATTGGCACAGTTCTTGGGTTTTGTGCTTCCCCCCCCCCAGACTGTAGGGAGTTTATATGAAATTCAAATTAAAGCAAGTCTAGGGATTTTGATTATTTTCAGATCCACTCTTTTTTTCACAGTTGAATTTTCAGTGCGGCTTACTAGAACCTGTATGATGGTAAAAGTGCTTAGAGCCAGGGTTAATATTAAAGAAAAATTAAGGGAACATTAACGTTAAAGAAAAAGAACTTCTGTGTTTTTTAGGTTTAAGGTACTGTTTCTTAATCATATTGATTAGTTGGATTTTTTTTGAGAAAGTAAAAACACTTGCACTGAATTCCCCTAACTGATTTATTGACTTCATTTACATATATTGTAGCACATGAATTCTATGCAAGTGCATCCGGTTCCTGAGAGGGAGAATATCTGTGCTGGTCTCGTGTTTCTCCTGGCAGCTGTTCTGTATATCTGTGCCACGGCCAAATGCTCCGAGAATCCTTTGAGCTGCCTATCACGGTGCTGAAACACAGTGATAGAGGACAGGAAGGATTCAGTAACACACCGATACAACAGGTAGTAGAACAGGAGGAACTGGGACAGGAAGCACGTAGGTTAATTTCTTAGAAGTGATTAACTTTTGCAGTCGACGTATCTGCAGCAGGCAGCACTGTGACCCTAGCGGCAAAGTGTTTCACCGTTCTCCGTTTACTTACATGTGAAGCAAATAGCTGCCTTTCCATGCCCTTCAGGTTTGTTATGAGGTTTGGGTGAAGCAGCATATAGTATGGGTATTATGTAATTATGAAGATTAAGCATTGCAGGAGAACATTTCGAGGGGAAAAAAAAAAAACATGTGCTTGCACATTGTGGGGTTTTGATGAATAAATGTTGGCATCAAAGTCAGTTTTACCTCTGCACACTGTGCAAGTTCTCCCCTTTTGAGTTCTTGCATTTTTTTGCAAGACAGCTTTAACTGGCATTGTTGTGGAACAGCACAGAACTGTAATTGTATCACCGCAAAAAGGAGAGGGGGAAGAATCTCACAGAGACTCTGGCACAGAGTGTGTTTTATGTTTCCTTTCTATGGGAGGAGCTAAGAACAGATTCTCGTTTTCCTAACTAAGCCCATGACCACCATCTTGTTTTGCTTTGTTTTTTTTTTTTTTTTTTTTTTCCTCATAAAGGTCAATGCTTTAAATGAGTCTTGAGTTGTCGGAGACACATTTCTCATCTTGCAACTCATTTTCAGCTCAGGTTAAGTTGCATTATATTCAAAATTAACGTTTGTATATTCTCTTTTCAGTGTGCAAGGAGCCCCCATACAAAGTGGAGGAGTCTGGCTACGCAGGGTTCATTATGCCTATTGAAGTGTACTTCAAAAATAAGGTAGAATCTGATTTCTGGTCTTCTAATTGTTTTGAGATGTGCCAGAGACTGAAACTGCCTGACAGAAAGACTCTAAATTATGTGACTGTTTTATGTGTGTGTTTTTTATTACTCTAATAAATAGAATTTAACTGGGAGTTGGAAGCTCTTGCCAGACTTCAAAAGAAAGCTTTTGGCAGAAATGGAATTGTATAGAAAGGTAATATCAGGACAACGCAATGGTCCTAGAGATTCTGAACAGAGATTGTACCACTTGTGGCAAGCTTCTCCAGCATAGATAACAGTAAAACAGTTTAAAGTGTTTCATGCAAATATGGAAGTAAATCAATGTAAAACGCTGATCTTATAAACACTTTTAAATGTTGTTGATTAGCAATATATTTAAAACTGGATTTTTTTTCTTTGCAATTTTTATTAAAATAACTGTACAGGTATAAAACTTATTGGCCCAAGACAACCATTTGCATATAGAGAAGAGTTATTTACAGCTCTGTTAAAAATATTGTTGTCCTGCTTCAGTACTCTTCCAAAAAAAAAAAAAGAAAACATTAAATATTTTAAATCTTATGATGTATTGCCAACACATGTTTGAAAGTTAAAATTTGGGATTTATTACTTGCTTTAAGTCTTACCACAGAGGTCACACGCTACATGACTTGAAGAAGGTTATGAAAACAGGGATTTGGCCACTTGCATTTGTATTAACTCAGTTTCAGTTAAATTGTTTTGTTAAGCATAGATACTTAATCTTTCTGGTTTTGATTACTACTTTCCAAAAAAACAAACGACAACAACAAAAAAACCTGTTCTGGATATTATTCCTGCAAGGGAATCTCGATAAAGTAAAATGTGAATATTAAGCCACCTTCCAGTGGCTTAATGTACTCCCATCCCCTCAACCCTCTAGAACAAGCCCTGGGTTATGCATACAGCAGACATTTATAATCATTCTATTTAGCTTCAGTGTCTTTCCCAGTGTACCTCCTGCAGATGTTTCTATTATTTTCTTCTTGCCCTAATCTAGCACAGTACACTCTCTAGTGGTGTCATTTGTGAATAATCAAGAGGGTTTTTTTTGGTCTACTAGGTTGCTTTTGCCCCACTTCGAGTCTGAGTTTGTAACAAGCTAAATGATGAGACTGAGCAACTACTACAAGAATCTTTTGCCTGCTACTTTCTTTTGGGTGGGTGGGGTAAGCCAAAAGGATGTGAAGAGAAATGGCAGTTAAAGGCATAGAAGGGGATGGAAGTTTTTGATAGAAGCAGCTTTTCTGGCAAGTACTGAAAACTGACGTGAATAAAGCAAAAAAACAAAACAACAACAACAAAAATACCCACACCAGAACAAGAAGAACAAAAACACATCTTGAAAGCTTAAAAGTAGTTTGTATATTGGCTCAATTCAGGTTCAAAAACTACCTTTCCATTCTTGACCAAAAACCATGAGCATTTCTGTGCTGTTTGCAGTGGGAACCTCTAATGATTGCGATGGGTGAGATATGCTTTGTTTCTACTCTTACCTTTTTCCCCTTCCTTTTTTCACCAAGCCTTTTCTCACACTTGCCCTTTTCCTGTGGGTCTCCCATGGCTTTGCCTTTCACATGTCCTCAGATCCTTCTGTCTCATTTCTGCCTCTCCTGCATCTTCTGTAGGTGCACTTGTTTGTATTGACTGTCTGCATTTGTGTGCTTTTTTCTCTCTGTTCCCTGTATTCATGCACTCATAGAATATGGAACTGGCAGCTTTTCTGAGTATAACTTGGTTTCACACATGCTGGGGTCATCACTTCTCATTGTTTCTTTAAACACGTGACGGCATAGTTGTTCTTTCTAGCAATAGGGATATGGTGGCTTTTATAAATAAGGGAAATAGGTGGCCTCTGTTGTAGTGGAAAACAATGGAAGCAGCAGTTAATTTGAGGGAAGGCAGTTTGCATTTGGCATTTTGGTCTTCAGAAATGTGAAAAGTAGGTAGGAAAATAGTTTTAGTTGTAAATTTATCCTTGAAACTACAAATCTTTGAAACACCTTTGCCCTATTTCTTACATGCAAGTATTGTGGAGAATTTCTCTTCCGCTTTTAATTAATCAATCATCTAATTAATTTTGTCAGTAGTCCCAGTATTAGACAGGGGCAGGCAGTGGTTGAAGGAGAATGTGATAGCTTCGGTCTCCCAGCACATCGTTTGTCCAGTGAAATGTTTCTGGGTTCAGCCAGGAGGTTGAAATATGGAAGCTATACTGAAGTTACTTGAAGTTTGCTGTTACTTCTTTATAGTTAGTAATTTTTCCATCGCTATGTCAGCAAATGTTATATTCTCTGCCCATTTGGAAGTTAAGCTCAGTACTTGTAATTACTGGATGTTCAGAAGCTGCCCAATGTGAGGAATTGGTTTCATCCAACAGCTACTGCACAGTGCTGCTACTGACCTGAAATACAAAGAGTTGTGTGATTATTTTCATTGAGCAGGGTTGAAGGAAACTACGAGGTGAATACTGCTGCAAAGACTGGGATGGAGTAGAAATTAAAATGTTTGGGAAAGAGGAGGAGAAATGGCAAAGACTTGGAATACAGTTCATTTTCTCCTTCGTTGAAGAACGTGACATTAAAGCACCATATAAATAAGTACTTACTACTTAAAGGCCATATGTTCACTCTGATCTCTGTAAACCTGTTGATACTGGTGGGGATCAGCTGTTGTGTGGAGAGCATATATTGTTCTGAATTGATCACAGCATTTGGGACTTATCCTTGACTAAGTCTTTTCAAGTAGATATTATGGATTGGTCCTGGGATTAGATAGAAGATGCAGTGTTTTATCGGTGACCAGACAGGACGAGTCAGGTGGTTCTCACGGGCCATATGCTCCCTACATTCTAGCACGTTTTTGTTGATGAGTGAAGTGTGTCTTCTCAGCTGAAACCAGAGCTGTAAAGGTTTTGGGATTTGTTTATTGATGCATGTTTAGCTTTGTAAAGGTGAGAAGAAAAAGGATTTAAAGAGGGAATGAAGTAATCTTTGAAGGTTGATCTTTGTCATGGTTGGCTGAAACTTTTTTTCTGCGGTTTAAGCTGCCTTTCTTAGCCATTTCCTTTCTCCATTCTAATTTGTTACTGGGATGATAAATAGTAATTGTCAGAGCCAGTGTACTCTTTGCTTTGGCTAAAGAAACAGGGGCATACTCACTACTAAGAAACTTTTACTAAGATCGGATTAAGAATGTTTTTAGCGAACTTCATCAGGGATTTTCTTTAGGCAAGTTTGCATAAAATTGCCCATTAACTCTCCTCTGTGCTAGAATACTACTTTGCCTGTTAGGAGTAGGAGAGTCAGTGCTCTTGGCCCTGCTGGAGCTTTTTGATGCCTTTCTGTCAGACAGGGAAGTGTCAGCAGAGGATTAGAAAAGGTGCAAGAGCCTGTTCTCCTCCTGTACAAATGTGGTTAGGCCTTGTTGACATGTGTTTGGCCTTTCTGTGCTGTATTTTAGTTCCTTATTAAGTAGGTGTTTTCTCAGTCTTGCCATCTGAATTGCAGAAAATACTTAAATATTGCTCTGAACTTTGAGTGTGTGTGTATTTGGTTCTTTGAGAGAGTCCCAGTTGCTTCTAGAGGCTGTCCAGTCTGCTATCTGCTCTGGTGTTGGTTGCCAGCTGGAGCCTCTGCAGCTCAACGTGGAAAATAAATGGCAGGACCGTAGCAGGTTAAATATTATTTTTGAAAGCAGGGTTGACTAGTGATACTAGATCACTTGGGAATTTTTGGACTGAAATGTTAGTATGTTATTCCTATTTTTAAATCCTTGTGTTTCTTTCTGTAGTGAGGGCTGCTGTTAGTGGCTTCTGGTGCTTGAATCAATACAAGCTGGGTACAATAAACACGTTGCTGTTTTTCTGATACTCTTCTCCTTTTCTCTTCCCCACCCAATTTCAACGATCTTGAGATTTTTTTCACGGCATTGTTGTCTCCAAATACATCTCTCATAGTAGTGTACATTTTAATCTGGAGGCTGTAGCACAGGCATGACTTTGGTACTCAGTCACTGTTACGTTTTTGCATCCTAATTAAATTAGGTCTTCTCTCTGCTTTCATGTTGTTCTAATGTAAGGCAGACTATTCTAATGCAATGTGGATGAGATGTGTTAAAGCCTGTTAAAGACTACCTTCCCATTGCAGGATGCTTCCAACATTTACCTAATGGAATACATGTAACTTAGGGTTTTTTTAGTAGTGAAAACGGAGGCATGTGTGGACGGCAGAGAAATCTGTTTGTTTCTTCCAGTTTCATTCAGAATAAAAACATGTATGCTTCCCCCATTCTGCAATATTCAGAGAAGTGCTATGTAAAATGCACATAAAATATTGAAGGGTAACATTATTTGATTCTTTTTTTCAGAGTAGGAGCTCAGTGGAGATGTTGTGTATGGGCTCAGATATGGCCAGACAGATGAGGATCAGGGCTGTGCCGTCAGAAAGGTGTTAGCTGGTCCGGGTCTCCTGAGGAAGGCTGCTGAAGTGACTGTATTTAGGCAAAGTGCTTGATTTTCTTCAAATCCCTGTGTTATGGGAGCAGGGTCTGTGCAGGTTTGAGGAAAAGAGGAGTCGATTTCGCCTGTTGCTGTTTGTGATTGCTGTAAGTTGTGGAAGGAATAAAACTGGTCAGTGTTTTGAGTGCAAGCATTTGTTTGCTACCATCTTTTAGGTCCATATCACCTTACGTACCTAACCTGAAGTGCTTCCTTGTGTGCAGCTGAGCGATGCATCTTTTTAAATATTCCATCCTAAAATGATGGGTGTTATCAGTTCATCCATTCTTCCACCCGTCCTGGCGAAAGCACCCGTGCTGTGTCTGTAGCCAGTGTTTGGCACATTGACATGACTCTGGAGAGGTTGTAGTGCCTGGCAAGGAGGCATTGTCAAACCCAGCAGCCTTCCTAGCTGTGCCAGCATCATCATATCTTGGATTTGTAAGAGCTGGTAGATTATTAAATACTTGTATTTGAGCAGTGAATACATTTTCTGATTTTCAAAGAAAGCAATTGGCTTCGAATGGGGGACAGTTCCAAAAAGCTGACCTCTTATCTTTTGTGAGGTTTTACAGGGTTTAATAAAACAAGGATGGCCTTGCCAGCAGAGCGCAACATAAGGCTGGGGACTTGCTTTAAAAATGTATATTGCTCTATTCACTTTTAAATGTCCTGCCCTAAAGTGGGAGGGAAGACTAGTCAGACGGGTTGTGCAGGCTGGGGGTTCATTTATACAGACGTTATGAACTGGATACAGATAAATGACTCTGTCAGGCTGGATCTGTGGCAGAAGGGAAGTCCTGTTAGATGTTATGGTTATTGAATAACCATGAGGCTGCTTCCTTGGTGTGCTAGATTTTTGTAGATAATTTTGTTTTATGGCTTTCTAAAAGTGATTTATGAGCTTTATGTGCACGCTACCAGTGAAATTCTTTTGATTTGTGTGAAGTGGCAAAGGGCACACCCTGCCTTAAAAACAGGACAAGGAAATTTTAACAAAAGACTTTGAAAAATTCCTGCTCTTACGAAAAGTGCCAAAAGAACTTTAACCCTTTACTTCAGAACTCGGAAGAAAACTAAAGCTGCTCCAGTATTCATAACCGCACTGGCAGTCAGTGCAGACAGGAAGCTGGAAAACAGTAAAAATAAAGGACAATGTGCTCAGGTTTGGAGATCGGCGCTGCAGCAGGCGGAATTCAGTGGATGGAGGGAAACTTACAGCGGCTGCAAATATGGCTGGGCCCTCCCTCAGCACTACATGCTTCTCTTTTCTTCCCTTGCATCTGAGATTTAACGAGCAGATATGGACTGAGGTTCAGGGTGTCCTTACTCAGACATTCCATGCCAGATTAACCATTTGACAAAAATGACCACTGAAAGGCAGCAGTATCTGCTAATTATAAATTCATGTCCTTTCTAAAGCCTTTCTTGGAAGTAAGGCCCTTTGGAAAAGCTTACGGTCTCAGAAGGCAGCGAAATATCCACAGGAACTATGTTTCTCCTCTTCTTAGTTTTACTTCACAACAAGGATTGAACATGAGAATGTAGAATTGTGTAACGGTAAAAAGCTTGGCTCTCCTATTCAGATAATGCTCAAGCAGGAGCATAGAAAGTGTCGCTGCAGCAGGAAAACAAACTGCCTGGAGTATGTGTGGATCCCAACATCTTACTCCAAAAGATTTTGAAGTGTGACACTGCGGATTGATTGTGGCATTCTGTTTAAAGTTAGAGGATGTGTGGGCCCAAGTCAATTGAGGGATATTTTCTTTGGCTTTCCTCTTTTTTTTTTTTTTTTTTTCCTCCTCCACTCTTAATGGTTGTTTAGAGGGGAGAACCTTTGAGGGAAGACCGGATGGGTTAAGCTTTGGAGTGCCTTGAGCTGTAATCATTAGCAGTCAGCGAAGGCAGTAAAGAATGTTTATTTGCAGCTTCTAGCTTTGAGACTTTTGTACTTTTAGGAGTGCTGTAATCTTAACTATTCACTTGGATGGGGGGCTTCTGATGTCCTGAGACGATACAAAGGATATTTTAATGATCATGGTACTTGGCTAGGGCTTGCTTCCCAGAAGGGTCGTGATCTCAGAGTTGGAGAAAGTCACATTTAAAAAGTGTCTTAATTTTGCAATAAGTGGAAATTCATCACAGAGGTCTGGTATGTATTTGGGAAGTTCTCTGATACTTTAGAGCCTGTATAAAAAATGGAATACCTAAGACAAAAGGGGAATTAATCTTCTATTCCATTCTCCTGCTCTGAAAGCAAACAGGCAAATGACACAGTGGAGTTCTAATAATGTGCCATAACAGCCTTTGACTAAAGCCTGCTTTTACTAATGTATCCAAGATCAATCAATTCCATGTCGTAAACTAGGAACACGTTTTAGAAACAATTCTTAGGCGACGTTTGAATTTCTAGTCATCCTTCATTTAAGTTTATTAGACTTTGAGGGACCCTCTACAGCTGCTGTTTTAACTCCAGTGTAAGCATGCACATGCAGAGCTCTCTAATGATTCAGTTAATGAGAACAGTCCTTGTAGCAAAGAAGAAAATGACAAGGCAATGTATTTGGCAAGTATATTTTCTTCTTCCCATTCATATGTTTTAGCAGACACTGAACACTTTCAAGTACAATTGGACTCTTCAGGACTTTTCCAAGAGACATTCTGAAGACCCTTGTGTTGGTAGCATGCTCTTATTTGTTAATATGAGACTTCTCTATTGTATGTGGCTGCTTAGATGTCTGCCTTCCCCTCTTTGGAAAGTTAGGATGCAAGACCTTAACTCCCAGGTGGGCTTATGGTACTGATTTTGATGTAAACCAGGTGTGCTTACAACACTTTATTATTAGGAGTATAGCTGGTACAAGCAGTGGCTTATTTAGTGATGCTGGCATCCCCCAAGCAAACAGCAGGAATTGGTGTGGTCTGAAGCTGTTTGACGCTTCAACCTATTTTCAGCAAATCTAATGGTTTGGGCTGGAAGCCTGCGGCATCTGTTCCCATACAACAATGCAACTACACCAGGAAATCAAGCTGATGGATATGAATTGTGGAAAAGACTGCTGTGCAGCTGCTTGATGTTGCGCATTGAATGAGGCATATGGGATGCATTCATGTAAACACTGAAGGTACTGTAACAGGGGAGTCTGTTTTGCCACTTTGGAGTTTTCATACTGAAATGCAGAATGCAAGAAAGCACTAGGAAATGGAGTGTCAATATTTTGCAATACAGAAATATTATGAAATACTTGCAATTTGGGGGCAGGGGTGGGAAGGGATTTCCAGTCTTCTGTACAGCAAATGCTTAGTGTTTGCTGTGCTTCTGCAGCAGGTGGAACAGAACCAGTGAGGCGCGAACGATCCCCAACATGCATACAAACTCTGGATTTCTTCAGTGAAAGCATCCTTGGAAAGTTCAAAAGCTTAGGATATCTTCCCATTCAACTCCTGCAATATGCATATTGAAAAGGATTTTACAAAATGAGTCATCCTTTTATAATTGTGGTTAATCTTTTCTCAGTACCCACAGAGATCCTGTGAGTTCAGAAGTTGTCCTCCCTAAATAAAGGATTTTGTTTTTCATAATATTGATTAGTTCAGTTGCTTCCCAGAGAAGATGAGATCTGAATTTTAGTGAAAGCAAAATAGTGGATAAAGATTGTGAACTTGCTTTCCAGGGATTATGTGAATGCTTTTAAACAGATAATTGTCAGTATTCTCTGTGCATTTCTTTTGCAGTAGAAAGACATGCCTGAGTTTCTGGTGAGAGGTATGTTAACTGTGTGTTTTTTAGGGACAAATAGCTTGTTTTCCAGCTTTGGAAAGCTCTTTGATCTCTTGATTAAAAACTATGAATGCAACATTTATTTGGTGGTTTATTTGGGATTCTCAGGAGCGACTCTCTGCATTCTCTGACTTAGGGTGCTTGCCAAACTTCTTCCTTTTTCCCAAAGTCTGTCTTGTTTTTAGGAGGAGCCGAAAAAGGTTTGTTTCACATATGACCTGTTTTTGAATTTGGAGGGAAATCCACCAGTGAACCACCTTCGTTGTGAGAAGCTGACTTTCAACAACCCGACGAAGGAATTCAGACGCAAACTTATTAGGGCTGGAGGGGTAAGTGCCAGAGGAACTGGAGATCTGAAGACTTTCTGTTAAAAATTGTGTGATTTAGGTTTGTTCTGAGGTTTCTCCTCAAGAAACTGGCTGCTCTTGACTTGGACTGGGGCACGCTTCGTTGGGTTAGAAACTGGCTGGATAGCTGGGCCCAAAGAGTCGTGCTAAATGGAGTCAAGTCCAGTTGGAGGCCAGTCACTAGTGGCGTCCCCCAGGGCTCGGTGCTGGGGCCGGTCCTCTTTAATATCTTCATCAATGATCTGGACAAGGGCACTGAGTGCACCCTCAGTATGTTTGCAGATGACACCAAGCTAGGTGCGTGTGTCGATCTGCCCGAGGGTAGGAAGGCTCTGCAGGAGGATCTGGATAGGCTGCACCGATGGGCTGAGGTCAACTGCAAGAAGTTCAACAAGGCCAAGTGCCGGGTCCTGCACCTGGGGCGCAATAACCCCAAGCAGAGCTACAGGCTGGGAGATGAGTGGTTGGAGAGCTGCCAGGCAGAGAAGGACCTGGGAGTGATGGTGGACAGTCGGCTGAATATGAGCCAGCAGTGTGCTCAGGTGGCCAAGAAGGCCAACGGCATCCTGGCTTGTATCAGAAACAGTGTGACCAGCAGGGCTAGGGAGGTGATCGTCCCCCTGTACTCGGCTCTGGTGAGGCCGCACCTCGAGTACTGTGTTCAGTTTTGGGCCCCTCGCTACAAGAAGGACATCGAGGTGCTTGAGCGGGTCCAGAGAAGGGTGACAAAGCTGGTGAGGGGCCTGGAGAGCAAGTCCTATGAGGAGTGGCTGAGGGTGCTGGGCTTGTTCAGCCTGGAGAAGAGGAGGCTCAGGGGCGACCTTATCGCTCTCTACAGATACCTTAAAGGAGGCTGTAGCGAGGTGGGGTTTGGTCTGTTCTCCCACGTGCCTGGTGACAGGACGAGGGGGAATGGGCTTAAGTTGCGTCAGGGGAGTTTTAGGTTGGATCTTAGGAAGAACTTCTTTACCGAAAGGGTTGTTAGACATTGGAACAGGCTGCCCTTGGAAGTGGTGGAGTCACCATCCCTGGAAGTCTTTAAAAAACGTTTAGATGTAGAGCTAAGGGATATGGTTTAGTGGGGACTGTTAGTGTTAGGTCAGAGGTTGGACTCGACGATCTTGAGGTCTCTTCCAACCTAGAAATTCTGTGATTCTGTGATTCTTTTTACCTGCAACCAAGTAAGCTATAGTTTTCTATGTTCACTTAAAGACCTCTACCAGGTTTTATTTCTGGTTATGGAGCAGCACTAGAAGCAGAATGAATCATATGTGATCAGTGGTACTTTATTTTCAATTTGAATATCACTTCTAACATCCAAGCAGTAAAGCCACTCTGGAAATGGAGATCTGTGGGTGTTAGATGATGTCCATCAGGCACTCAGTTATTGTTGACCTTCCTAGTGTCATGAGCTCTATCTGTGTAGAAAAGGGAGAGGCTTCCAGTGTATTCCTTACTAATCTTTGTCACAGGAAGGATCAGCAGATAGTATTTGTTGGTCAGTAAATGTCCCCTAAACCTGGGTTTGGCTCCTTGTGGCCTAGCTAATTAAAAAGTAAGGAAAAGTGTTATAGAATTCAGAGTAAAAATGGGTGTGGGAGGAAAAAGCTGTATTCTTGAAGCCATGGTAAGGTTATGGGTTACTACATATAGTTGTATAAACTATTACTTCTGGGAAATTAATATGCAGTGATAGACTAAAGAATTTATCCTTAAGTAACTATCAGATGTAGGTCAATTAGTAAGGGCCGCGTAGTGCATAAAGTTTTTAACCAGAGGTTGTCATGATTCTGAGACACCCCATATATAGTAATGCATAATTCTGTTTTCTTTAAGGACTTTATTCAAAATGGTCTTGACTGCTGGCAAAACTTTCTTCCAAAAAACATTTCTAACCTGAACAAAAACAAAACAAAACAAAAAAAAACACGGTGAAGTTTGTCAATAATAAATCTCAAGTGTAGTAAGTATTCTAAGCAGATTTGTCCAGATTTTCCTCAGAATGCCAGTGCTTTTCTGTGTTGGGCATGAAGAAGGTGTTGCTTATTTTCAGCCATAGGATGGCTGGAAAATCATTTACACTCTAGGATTTTAATAGCTCATTATTGTGTTCCTTAAGTATTAAATTGTTTCAATGGTGAATCACATTTGGTGGAACTTTTCAATAGGGTTACTCTGACAGAATATACGGGAGGTAAGAAGGAAAGCTGTTTCATAGAAGTCAGCACTTCTTAAGATCTTGTCAAGGGAGATACCCAAGGGCTACTTTTTTCTTTTTTTTTTTTTTTCCTGAACAAGTGAAGTCTTGCTCATTCCTTCCAGATTTCCCTTGGTATCTGTTTGCAAAGTAAGAGCATTTGCAGCAGAACACAGGTTTTTGTCCAGAGCTCTGTTGCCTGCTGCTTTTACTCAGAATATTGGAGGTCCCTTTAGGAAAGGTACTTGATGCTGCATATTGCCTTTGAATTGTTGTGGTTTTCATGTTCAGTATTTCAGGAGTTTCCTTGAGACTGAGCATCTTAACTGGAATTGCCTAGGCAATAACTTTTATGGCCTTTAAGGTGGGGAAAAAATAATCTAAAAGATGAATTAGTGTGTTAACTGGGCAAGTGACTTAGTATAATCATGTGTTAATAGTATGTTCACCTTTTCTCATGCATAGTTTTTTCCCTCTCTGTTACTAGGTGATGGTAATGCCAGAAGGAGCAGAAACAGTTTCAAGACCAAGTCCCGATTATCCTATGTTACCCACAATACCACTTTCTGCCTTCTCTGACCCTAAGAAGAACAAACCATCCCACGGGTCAAAGGTCAGTGTAACCTGCTTTTTCATCATTTTGAGGTGAAGAAGTCTCTTACAACTCTATTAATAGGAGCTCGTTCTGGCTACTTCTAATTCTGAAAACTGTCCTTCTACTGTGTAGTTCAGTCTTTAGGAAGTCTACATTGGCCTCTTTTCCTGTGCCATTTTTTCCTAGTAAGACTGTCCATTTCCTAGTAAATACAAGGAGGTGGAGTTATCAGAGACAGAAATTGTCATCCTGTTTAAGCTTGAAATAAGAATTGTCAGTGTAAGAATTAGTTGTTCTTTTTTTTTTTTTCTCTTTTTAATCTTATTTTATACCAGAGTAATGCAGTGAAGACTGCTTTGGAAATTTGTACCTAAATATGTACCCACAGTTCCAAACCAGCTAATGTTGTGGAATTTATAATGTTAACTGCATCAATAATTTACTTGCCCTCTAAATTTAGGAAGCTTTTTCATGATTTGGCAAGCTTATCTACAAAGATCTTTTGAAAGAAAATTAAATGCCCAAGACTGAGAATTATTGGTGAACCGTATCTTCCTGCTGAACATGAAGATTTATCTGTAGTAGCAGATAAAGTTGTATCGAGTCCTCTCTGATTGTTTTGACTTGTCCTTAATGCTGAAGATGAATTGTGTAGATCTTTCACTGTTATGTAAAGCTGTGCTCTAATTCCTGTGGGATTTCAGTCTCTTAGCAGCAAGGCTAAGTAGAGAGTCAGCACTTCCTCTGTCTTTAGGACTACTTGGCATAGTGGTGGAAAAAGCATAAAATATGCTGCATTTGGTCAAGCTAGTGATTTCAAGATTTGATGTTTGCCTCAGCAGTATCTAGTTCTTGAGACTTCAGAAGAAGCTTAAGTTTTCTTTTTTACTTGTGTAATAAAGCTACTTTTCTGTAATTTTACATAGGAGAAGCAATCCATGGGCAATGCGCTTTGAAGCAGATTACATATTCTTTATCAGTCTGAACAGTCACAAATATTAATAGCAATCCATTTTATGGTGTAATACAATTCCAATACCCATTTTCTTCAAGGCTCTAAACACTTCGGGCACTTCAGTCATGTCTTCTGATGTTGACATGAAACAAAATAAGGATGCCATAACTATTAGTGGCTGATTTAATTTTGGTCAGGAATTAAGCATTAGAAAACAGAAGACAAAAGAGGAATAAAGGGCTCTGACACAAGCTCTGGTGAAAATTGCTGGTAGCTAAAGAGACAGTAAGTCACCTGCATCTCGTCCCCCAGATTGCCCTCAGAGGTGTGTGTGTGTTTGCATCTCAGCATGTCCAGTTCATACTCCAGTATCTGCTGTTTAAATCTGATTAAAGTTGATGAAATGCCTGCAAGTATCAGAGGCTCTGTCTCTCTTGCAGTTGTGGGGGGATTGAGTATTCTTAAATTGCCATGTAATTGACGTGGTGAATTTAAAGTTAGGCTGTGACCATAGCTTGTATTTGCTGTGGATGTGTTTAATGTAAAAAAGAAATTTGACTGTTTTTTCCTCAAACTTGGTGTGAAGTATGACTTTGTATAACAAACACTACCTGAATGGGTTTCCTCTTATCTGGCTTCAGATGTTAACCCTGCAGATTTAATCTGAATTAAATACGTAGCCTCCCTTTATAAGCCATGGGAAGGAACAGGTGTTTGTGAAACGTGTTTCTTCCTGTCCTAAGGTAGATGTTGAAGTGCATACTGTCAATTTCTGTCCATCGACTGTAGGGAAATCTAGATGACTGCCTTGGAGGTAGATGAGTACATTTTGCAATGGTGGGTGTAAGTCTACAAGAAACAAGGTGCTTCAGTGTGATATGAGTGTTTTTTTTTTCAATTCTGTGTAGAGTTTCAATTTCATACCTAGCTCGCATGTTTCTGTTACTAATACTTAGGATGCAAACAAGGAAAGCAGCAAGGCATCCAAGCCACACAAAGTAACCAAGGAGCACAGAGAGAGGCCAAGAAAAGACTCTGAGAGCAAAAACTCCTCCAAAGACCTTGAAAGAGAACAAAACAAGCCTTTGAAGGACTCCTCCAGAAAACCCACTGAGAACAAACTGCCTAAGGAGGAGAAAGCACCTCCAAAAGCTGCTTTCAAGGAACCAAAACTGGCCGTGAAGGAGACCAAACTGGAGAACACTTCTCCAAAGGGTGGGCCGCAGCCGGAATTAAAGTCTTCCAGCAAAAGGCCCTCCAATGTGGAGTCACCAAAGCCTAGTGCCAAAAAACAAAAAAAGAGTAGCTCCAAAGGGGTAAAAAATATTCTGGGAACATCTCCCAGAACCTCATCTTCCTCATATCCAGAGAAGAAACCAACTAAGGAGAAGATGAATGCCAAAGTGGAAAAGGTAAAATCTGAAAGTGAGGCCAAGGAGATCAAAAAGCCTGTGGAAATGGAGGAGTCAAATTCAGAAGATGAAACTTCTTTCAAGTCAGAGGTGAGTAGGGATTGGTCCTTTACCAGATTTTTAAAATCACGATGCTTAAATCCTTGCATGAAAAGACAGTCAGAATTATTCCCTCAGACAAGACCAAGAATCAGATTGGCACACACTCGTCTGGGCTGTATCTCAGACAAACTACTGTTTGAAAATCTGGTCATTATTAATCACTGCAGCTGCCCGGCTTACCTGGTTCAGATATGCAGTGCTGTGCAGGTTTATCTGCAAGCACGGTTATCTAAATGTTGGAGTTTAAGGTTATGGTATCTCGTTCATTCCCTACAACAACATTGATAGAGCAAGAGTATAATAAATGTATACAGACTTTCTACCTACTTATAATATAATGTTTTTGAACCTGGTCTTAATTCAGAAATCGAGTGAATAACTTTAGGGATTTTTTTCAGAAATATATAAATGTAAATAACTCTATTCCTGACAGCCTGTGAGAAATGTTATTGGCTAAGGCTCAAAATACAACCACATGCCATTAAATCTAAATAAATTGTGTTGTAAAACAAACCAAATTGTTATTCTACTACTATTTTTAAAAGCTGTCTAAATATCTTTTTCCTCTTTACAAGTAAGAACATTTCTCACCCTCTATCTTCTGAAAATTGTTTACCCAAAGAAGGCAAAAAAAGGAGTTGAAAGGCACAACCTAACCCAAACTGACTACTTTTCTTGCATATTTTGTTTACTCTAAAGAAGCTATATGTCTTCTAATAGGTTTCACAGGATAAGGTCACATGAGTTTTTGAACTGCTTACTACTGTCTGCTTTTAGAATGATTTGTTTTACTAGAGTGAATTTCCTAGGGACAGCTTGGATTACGATTTAATCAGCACCACAATACAGTAACTATTGATGTGTTTATTTCAGAAAGGGCTTTTGCAGAAGATTCCTAATAGAAGAGTTTATTAGGGAGATGCTAATTGAAGTTACTCTGCAAAGATTTTTCCAGACTGATTGAGCATGAAGCTTGTAGATTAAAAAGAACCAGCTCCTCTCCACTTTAAACCTTGTATCTGAAGTGCATCAGCCCCTCATCTCTGTACACCTCGCTACAAGCTTCTCTTTTCTGCTGCTCTCTAAGGCCTGAATGGCTTGTAGCTCCTTATTTCTTAGGTGTCTGTCCCTTGGGACTTGCCATGCAGCTGCAAGCTGATAGCATTGTTAAGACTGTGCTGTGAAACCACCAACTGTGGTTGTGGTTCCACGGTGTCTGCTGCAGGCCTGTCTTGCCCCCACCAAGCTTTGTATGCTTCTGTGTCCTCTCTTGCACCAGCTCTGGTGTCTGTTGGATGCCTTACAGAGCTATTTGAGTGCCTGCCCAGGAGGAGGATGGGAATACTCAGTGTGACGGAGGGGGAACTGTGGCAGCTTTCTGTCAGCTCAGCTTAGGTTTCTGTGGAATTTGAAGCTTAGGGATATAACTGCATAATGCATTGGCATCAGCAGAGAAGACAAAGTTCCTTTTCCATCCTGGGAGGGTCTTTCTGCTCCCAACACTGCAGTTTGCTACTCCATCGTTTGTATTGGTACAGCTGTTTGTGGCTCTGTGTGGTAAGCCACATCACTAAAGTGAATGAGCAGCTGGAGGTGGACCGGGGCCCGGAAACTCTTAAATCAGCTTTCCTGCTGAAGCCAACGTATTGTGCAACATGCTCTGAGGCTGCAGCACCACGATTGCTTTGAGTTGACATCTTTGCAGGCTGCTGTTGAAAGGAATAGTCTTGCTCTCATTTGCGCTGCTGGCATGAGAGCTCGTGTGACTTTGCAGTGGGCTGGAGGAGTTCCTCCTTCCATTTCAGCTCCTGCTGAAAGTTAGTTGTTCCTTTTTGTGTATTCTTTTTTCCATCAAGACCAGTTCCCTGATCTGGCCTCATGCTTGGCTGCCTAAACGCTAGTGCTGACAAAAGGGAGAGGCTGAGATGTGAGGGTTGGATCTCTTTTTTCCTTTGTTAGCGTACGCCTTTGTCATATCACAGTGACAGTAACGGCAGCCCAAGCATGCGGAGCCCGTCTAGCGGGATGCCTGCTAGCTGGTTGAAATAGCCAATACAGTCAATGGCAAAAGGAGAAGAGGGGGGGACTTTACAACTTCTGGCTTCTGCTTCTCAAGCCCCGTTAATTTTTTTTTAGGGAACACCTGCTAGATTATCAGGAATGAATTGATGGTAAGATGGAATCTGAGAAAGAAACAGGAGCTGTGCTCTCTCATCTTGAAAACATTGCCCTTTACTTTGCTGTAATTTTACTAGACAAACACACATGCTGCAGAGTGCAGCACGTGGATATTGGCGTTGCTAAATTATTCTGCTTTGCTACTGAATAATTTGCAAGGGTAATAATACCTATTTTTGACATCCTGCATCCACCCCTTTTCCTTTTGTAGGAGTTGAATAAATGCAACTCTAATCTTTAGTGATAAACTATAGGGGAGGGGGGCAGTATTGAGATGAAAATCCTGCAGCTTTCACCAATTAATGCCCAAAGCTGCAGACATGCCTCGTTACCTGTTGACAGTATTGCTCTTGCAGTATTAACGTCTTCTGTAACAAAGCTCGTTGATCAGTGGCAATGTGAGGTGTTTTTTATTTTTATTTTTCTAGCATCAGGATTCGATAGCAGAAGTAGTAGGTGCATTCTCAGGAGTCGAATTGAAATGCTACATTTCCAGGGAATTACTTAAAAACAAGCAAACAAAACTGTGCTGTTACAGTACAGCAAGAATCTTTAAACTAGGTTCCACTGAGAGAGTAAAAACCTGGGAGATGATTGTAAGTCACTCCTGCTGTCAGGGAGGAAATAGTTGATTTGCTTTCACTGCCACCTCGTGGCAGTGCGCTAAAGCATGCCAAAGCTGTGCAACAGCTGATCTTGTGTTCAAAAACTTACAGAGCACTAAATCTTGGCTTCTGGATGTCATTAGGAGCAGTAGTTTCTAACGTGCTTTTCTTTTTTTTTTTTTTTTTTACTCAAACACTTACTGCACACTACTGCCAGTAGAGCTGGTTTCACAAGAGTTTAGCTGGTTTTTGTTAGGTTTTCAGAAGAAACTGGAAACAGTCCAGTGGATCACTAACACCACTGTTGAATGAACTGTTTTGAGGGCATACTCAAAAGTTGGGATATCTTTAAATTTCGGAGTTAGATGAGTTCGGTAGGACAGGTATCTTTTCCACATCTAATGATGAGTAAGAAATGATCAGAGAATGTCGGTGGGTTAAAATATGTACAGGTTTGGAAAAAGCTAACTTTTTTAAAAGAAAGCATTGACAATTGTGCTGGGTTGCATGCCAGTCATCTTTTGCATTTCACATTAAGTTTTTTTTTTTTTTCACTTTGGCATTTTTCAGGTGCTATTTTTTTGTCACTGAGATTATTTGAAACTACTGGCATGAAGGATTTTGTTGGGACCTTTTGATGCTGCTACCCAAGTGTGCTGGGCTATGGCGCACTGAAGTTTTCACAAATGTCTTTATTTATCTTGCCTTTGTGTATTTGATGCAACTCTTAGAATTGCATTCAGTAATGTATGGTGTTTTAGAGTGCTCAGATGTTTCTGTCTTGCTGTGTTTTGTGCTCTGTGCTGATTCTCCGGATTAGAAGGGTTAAGATTTTTTCTTTTTTTTTTTTTCCCTTTTATGGGGGGTTAAGTCTGTCCAGTCCAGCCCTTCCAACTCCAGCTCCAGCTCCGACTCCAGCTCTGACTCTGATTTCGAGCCATCTCAGAACCACAGTCAAGGTGTGTTGCGAGAAATAAAATTTGTTAAAGTCTTCCTTGCATAATATTAAAAGGCTCATGAGAATTAGATCTTTTTCCCCAGTGCCATATACAAGGCTAATACACTTTCTTTTATGGAACTGTGTGCTGAAGCTGTGATGTTTCAGCAAGAAAAGTCAATAATGTCATAGTGTAGTTATGAACAAGTACGTTTCTGGTTTGGGCAATTAGTTTATGACTAGGGTATCTCTCTGGATTTGGATTTCTCCCTGTTGACTTTGGTTTCTGTCTCAGCTTATAAATGTGTGTGTTGCTGCCTGATCTTATAGCATCATCAGAATTTTTCCTCCAATGCCATATATGTTTTACTAAAAATTAGAGATGTGGCATTCATCATTTGGCTAGTACATAACAGGTTGTCTTTCTCTGATTTCTCCACTGATAATCCAAAGAGAGATACTGTAGCAATAATAAGTGATCTAACCCTAACAAGTGCAGTATTACTACAGATACGGTCTATTGAGTGACATTTAAAATAGTCCCCAAATACATGAAGAACATGTCCTTTTGTTTTCATTGCAGAAGAGAGTGGGAGGGTTATGGTGGAACAGAGTGCTTTACAGAAATCGGGATGTTTGTCAATTCTGCTTGAGTTTTGAGATAGAATGTGTTGTTTTGGCAACTTCTCTGTGCAAAGCAAAAATATCAAGGTATTCTTCCCAAAAAATCTTGATTGATCTTAAGGATAACTAATCCAATGTAGATCAGGGAGTTCAGATGGAGTTCTGCCATGTGTCCTAGACCAGTGCTGATCTGCTTTCTCCCCTCTGATCCTAGGCCCGCTGCGCTCCATGGTGGAAGATCTGCAGTCAGAGGAGTCGGATGATGATGACAGCTCCTCTGGAGAAGAGGCAGCAGTCAAAGCAAACCCAGTCAGCCGGGATTCCAGGTGGTACCAAATCACGAAGAAAGATGTTTGCTGTCTCTTTGCCCTCCATGTTTGTATTTTTGCATGCCCTCTGTTTGGAGGAATCAAAGTGACAGGGCTGTGCATTAGAGGAAGGCGGGAGAGAAGAAGCGAATGAGCAGATGTGTCAATGAAAGCAGCAGGGTGAGAACAGAATTGGATAAGGAGAGATCACTGGAGCTGAAAGAGAGGGAGCTACTGGAAAGTGGTGTGTGAGCTTGCAGGTGTTGGTGACTGAACCCCTTAAAATAATCACCTAATTGTCATCTTTAGATCTCTGGTGGGCTGAATGGTGTGTGACAGCTTTGATCTGCAGAGATTAGAGATGCGTTGTGGAAGCTGTCGGCATGTGTGCTCTTCTTGCTGTGTCTTCACTGATGGCGCATGCAGGCAGTTGGTTACTTGACTCCTATGGGACTTGGTTAACAGCTGTTTCCTGCTTTAGTCAATGGAAATAGTTGAATTTCATCCTTCTCCCCTCAGGAAACACTGATGCAGCCAAAATCTGGAGTCTTAGGCTGAATATTTGAAACCAAATGCTTGGCCTAGATAGCAGCTGCAAATTTTACGTAGGGCTTGTGTTCACCAAAAAAATCTGTTGCACTCTGTCATTATCAGCTAAACAGCAACTGAGAGATTTTAAAGAGTATTTTTTTTTTTTTTTTCACCTTTAAGGGGATAGGTAATAAATATTTTTTCAAACTCATCAAAAGTAGGATACCTTCATCTGTATGGCATGAGAATAAAGAGGAAATCTAGGTGATTTACGTAATGCTCTAGGTGATCCTACTCGGCAGGGGGGTTGGCCTAGATAATCTTGAGAGGTCCCTTCCAGCCTCAGCTGTTCTGCGATTCTGTGAAATCTCAAATGTCACGACATAGCAGAAACACTAAATAGATACATTTTTTGTTGCTTGGGTGCTCCATGGAGATGTTAACAAGCCTCTCTTGAGCAAATACTCTGTTTTGAATGTTTTTGAACCCACAAAAAGCAGTTGCCATTTGCAAAAATCAGGTGGTACTTGGTTATTCAAAGGGAATGTGAGTATGGGAGAGCTGAACTGCTAGCTGTAATGTGTAAACCAAAGCTGTCTCTTTTGCCTGCCCAGGAAATGGAAGATGGCAAAGGTGATGTCAGGTGTGGAAAAAGAAAATTCTTGGGAATTACAGATAGACTTTGTCTCACAGACAATTTGGTAGACTGTAATAAAGAACAGAAAGAGCGGGCATCATTTCTGCTTCACTTAGCTGTCAACCGAACTGCACACAGTTAGATACTTTTCCCATTGCCTGTTGACGCTAATTCTGTGCTCCTTGTTTTCCAGACTGAGCCTTAGTGACAGTGACAGTGATAACAGTGCGGACTCTTGCCTGCCAAGTCGAGAGCCGCCTCCTGGTCAGAAACTGCCTGCAGCAAATAATAAGGTATTGAATCTTATGTGCCCGTGCAAAATTGCTTTCCACCAGTGCTGGTTCCTGCATCATGTTCAATCCATGATGCTAGTTCTGGCTTGCACTGATGCTTCTCTATTTCACTTTCTTCATCAGAGAGGTAATTTCTCCTGATTCAGTGCTGTGTATCCAAACCATTAAGCCATCATTTTGTCTGAACTACTTTTGGTCCCTAATGTTGATTCGTTTTACCCTCAGGCGTCTGGAAGAAAAAGCCCAGAGTCTTGTAACAAGCCAGAAAAGATCCTGAAGAAGGGAACGTATGACAAGGTATGTGTGAGAATTTGCATATCATGGAACTGTTGGATGCTCGCTAACATTTCTGTGTATAAAATAATTTGAGCCAGCCTAGCATGTTCAGATTATTCTGCCTTGGCAGATTAATGGCTTGAGTATAATGAAAAACAGATGCTGAAAGGATAGACTGGAGAGTAACGCTAAAGAAATTGTGTATATTAGATAGACCCCCAGGTCTTTTCCATGTGCAAAATATTAAAATTGTTTTATGCTTGCCCTTTGAACCATTGATGTGGCCACTGCTGCAGTGGTGAGTGCTTCTTCATTAAAAGGCAGTTTTAATCTGTCTTTGATCTTACAAATTAAGGATTTTTTCAAGGCTCTGTTTTGCCTATAGTTGAAACCTTTGTTCAGTGAAACTCCTTTCTTTTCTTGCCTCCAGGGAGAGTCAAGCAGCGTATGTTCTCCTAAAGAATGTCTGACTTGCAAGCAAATAGTCAAATCCCAAGTTGTCCAGAAAGTTTCCCCCCCTGTGATTTTTCTCATAAAGCAATTAACTGGGAGCTTAATACTTCTTTCTAATCACAGAATCAATCTGTAGCTCTCATCCTTTCCTGTTTTAAGACATTTTCAACCCGATAACAGATCACAGGTTAATTGCTTAATGTTAGGTTTAAGTGTGATCTTGAAGATACTTGCATCTGAGTTTCCTGCTGGCTACAAAATTTTCTGCCGCTGAATACCGTTAAACATAGCTGAGAGGGCTTATCTGAGAAGAGGTTTGTAGGAAATGGTACCTTTTATTAGACTTCTTAATACAGATAGAATGGGACACTTGAGAGCCATTGAAGAGAGAGAATGCCTGAAATTATCACCAGTTTTTACAACTGTCAGTGTTTTTATAAAAGATATTAGCTTTTCCAGAATGTATAGCATTCAATACTATTTAGGTGTTTGGGGAAAAATGCTTTTTTCTGTGTGCTAAGGAGGACATATATTTTTTTCGCTATATTTTTTTTGCCTTGGTACAATTACATAAATGAGTTCAGCTTTGCTGATACGAACATGAACAACTCTGGGACAGCTTTAGAGATTAAGAGTCTATCCCCTGTGAGCAATAGTGTGCCAGGAACTTGCCTTGTTGGCTGCTTAAATTAAAAAACAAAACCACTGACACAAAAACAACCAAACAACCCCGTGTATATGAACAATTAAAATGATACTGAGCTTGTAAACAATCCTGCAGTTCCCACTGTGGGGTGTGTGTGTAAAACTAACTGGGAACAGAGCACTCAAATATTTTTTTTTTTTCTTACCTAAACACAAATAGGTGCTCAGATTGCTAGGGTGTTGATCACGGAGCATTGGTGCAGGTGTCTTCAGGTAATGGGTAGTTATTAGTACAGCCTGCTGATGAAGAACTTGCTCTGAAGTTGACCTAGCTGAAGGATTTCACCTTGTTGAGGTCCTCTAAGCTCAAAGTTTTTGGCAGTGCCTTATAGCTGGTTACAGGTGAGCTCAAAGGTTCTGATCATGTCTTAAAGCTGGAGGCAGGTGCTTATTTATTGGTGTCATTTAATAGCCTAGTTGATGGTATTCAGACCATCTGTATTTCCATGAAGTCTGTAGTCTCCCAATACTTGAGAGAGGAGGCAATAAAAAAAAGGGGGGGGGGGAGGTAAAATTGAGAATAAGAACATCTGTGAAAGGGCCTTGTGTTCCTCTGACCCTTGCTAGGAAAGTCACTTTGGCAGCCATACAGACATGCCATGTATGTCACTGTTCCTGTTCATGCCTCCCTTACAGGCCTACACCGATGAATTAGTGGAGCTTCACAGGCGACTAATGGCACTACGAGAGCGCAACGTGCTACAGCAGGTAGAGATCATTTGTCAGCTTTCTGGCAGGCCGTTGTACTCTGGTAAACTTGGTGTCCAAGGGTCTCAGGCAGACCCCTGTGACCTTTCACTTGCCTCTCCTCATGAGAGGGTCTGGTTTACTTTGAAAGCAGATGCATAGAAAAAAATCAGGTGTGCATGCAATGTTTTTATTGGAAAAGGTACAGAAGAGTCCATCTTTTCCTCTTGTCATCCTGCTAGCTGTCTCAAAGCTGGGCAATCTCAGTGTAATTGAAAAGGAAGCATGTTCCCAGGTCACCTTCCAGACGGAGCCAGTCAGGAGTGCAGGAGGAGCTCGTTTGCTTTTCTGGGAGATTTTCTTCTTGCAAGAGAGACATGTCCCTGAGGCTTTTCTAAAGGGATAAGAGGACTGGATGGGTTGCTTTGTATCTGCTGGCCCTTCCAGTGTACTTAATCTGATGGACTCTCTCTCTATGTTGTTGCTTGTCTCCTTTCTGTACAGATTGTAAATCTTATTGAGGAAACCGGGCATTTTAATGTTACCAACACAACCTTTGACTTTGACCTCTTCTCCTTGGATGAGACAACCGTCCGTAAGCTGCAGAGCTACTTGGAAGCAGTAGCAACATGACGCTTGGCCTTAGAAGCAGGCTGCTTTTGAAACCAGAAATCCCGTTTATTGGTACCAGGAAACGAACCCATGGAACTAGGCCTTCTTATTCTCTCGATTCACCCGAAGCACTGCCTTAGAGAACAGCCATGCTCTATGAATGCACAGCCAGCTGCACTTTCTTGTAGGCTTCAAACAAGCACCCATATTGCTGAGTCTGTCCTCCATAGCTTCATAAGTCCACTTGGGCACAGGTCCTGAGTAGAGCAAAAGACACGCTGCACCTAGCTGCAGTGCAACACTTCTGGTTTTACTTCAAGAAACTGTGTTTTAAGAACAGATTTTCAGGCGTCTCTGAGAGCTTAAGAAGTGTGGATGATGTTTTCTTCACTAAATCTTGGGACCAGCCTGCCTGCGGAGCTCTAGCAAGTCCGATTTCCTCCAGCTCTGTGATGAAGCATTCATGATGTGTAAGCAGGATTGGCTTTTACAAAGCTAACCGAGAGGCTGATGGCGGAGGAGGCTTCCTAGGGGTATTGTTGGTCTGTTGTGGGGAAAAGTGGACAGATTCCAGCTTTGATCACTTGCAAGTTCTGCTGCAGTTTGGTACAGAGCACTGCTGTAATTTGGTTCCCAGCTCCTGCAGGGCATCGCTCCACACACAGGACCTTACTCTGTTTCAGCTTCCTGGAGAGACCGTTTGTGCTCTTTGAAGAGGCCTCTCGAATCTGCTGTCTCCCGCTGAGGTTTTGAGACATCTTGTTTGTTGATCTGAGCTCCTAAACAAAGTCTCACTCCTTTCAGTCTGCTTTAACTCTAATAGGACTACAAAACTGTAAGCTGTATATTTTATATATATATTATATATATGTATGTACTGTATGTATAAGAAGGGCCTAGTTGGGTCTTACGATTTTAAGGGTGTGTTTTTCTGTTATGTTTTTTAATGGCTATGGCAGGGGAAGGGCGCTTAATAAGATTTGACTTGTTTGTTAAAATGCCTCTTGTGGACAATTTTTAGTGTATGAAAGCTGAACAGCGATCTTCAAAGCATTTTGTGCTCTGGAAGGGACTCACCTGTTGTCTTTTTCATTTGTCAGTGTTTAATAACTTTGCCAAAATATGTGATTGGTTTTGTTCTATGTTCTCAAAGAGGAATCTCCTACAGTGGCCCCTATAGTAGTGGCTGTACTTTGGGAAAACCAAAACAAGGGAGAATTTTATTTTGGGACGCACCTGGAAAACACTGATGTAACAACCAAGTGAAATCAGGTTTGTTTCCTCCTCCCTCTCCCCCCACCTCGCACCTGCTCAAGAAATGGCAGGAAACAGTAAACACTAATCCAGAATCTTTCATCTATTTCTAGTCAAACTAGCATGGGCTTCAGGAGTTGTCTGTATGCTGGCTGGGTGTGGGGAAAGTCATGTAGCTCTTATCAAAACGGTATTACACTCCTGTTCCCTAAATCCAGTATTTTTTATTTTTGAAGAATTGCTTCTTTCTTCCAATCAGTGTGTAAGCTTTTGCCAAATGTTAAGTGGCTGCTGGCAGTGAGGAGGAGAGCAGCAGTTCTGAGGAGCCCTCTGCTCATGCACGCATCTCTTGTGTCTATAAAAGCCCTGTGTAGGAACTGGGGAGTTGCATTGTTCCCGGGTTTGCTGTCCCTTCTCCATCATGAAATTTCAATCCCTTGTTTTGGGTTACCCCTTTCTTTATCATGGAAATGTTGCAACTAATCAACTTAAGTGGCAATATGATGATAAGCTTGTTTGAGTTGGGTCATGTTGACCCGATTCCCATTAATTTTCTTTGTACCATCTTTCATGTGTCTCGTGTGTGTGTGTATATACATATATATACATATATATATGTGTGTGTGTGTGTATATATAAATAATCAAGCTCATGCCAGGTGCGTGCCCTGTCACAACAGTGATCTCAGCTGTTTTTTTCCTGATGAACAATGCCAAGCCTGGATAGAAACCCTGTGTACAAATGTACTTTGAGAAGGTGGAGGATGGCAGGAAGAGGAGGAGCTGTGATGGCCTTTGTTGGCATCGAATGCCGTGTGCAGGAGGACAGCAGCTGCAGTCCATGAGCGTTCATGGATTCGCCTGTTTGTGGTGCCAGGTGTGGTGGGTATGCGTGAACTGCTCATGGTCCCTGCTGGGTCTGTGGCATGGAGGAAGTGAGTCTTGCTCAGCTGCCACAGCCCCACGCTGGGCTCCCTAGGCACGTGGCAAAGCCCCTGGCACGTGGTGCCTCCTGCCGCAAACGATTGGTGACACTCCCTGTCTCTGAAGCTGCATAACAGCGCTGGTGGCAAGCCCAAGCCTGAGATCCCTCTAGGTCTTTGGTCCTCTCTTCACTGGGGTAATTAACTCCCACAGCTGTTGTGTCCGTGTTGCCCACCCTGGCAGCTTTTCTCCTGGGACTATCAGTAGCCTCCAGAGTAACCACAAGGGACTGGAGGTGCCACCACCCTTCTGCCCCCTTCACATGTTAAAATCTGAGTCGTCACCGCTGCCAGCTAGTCCAAGAACACACGTGGGCCAGTGTTCCTGAACTTGGCTGGAAGCACATGGGGCTCCTGCCCAAGGCTGTGGCATCGTCCTGTCCTGGAACCGACTTTATTCGTGAAGTCTAATGAGCATTGATGGGAATTTTGTTTTTATAAGAAGTATTTTACACATGGATTTTTTTAGACTGTTTATAATCTCCTTGAAAACCCAAAATAGGATTGTTCCCCAGCAATAGTTCTCCATTGTGTGCACATGCTGATTTGTTACTAAAAGGTTTCTTGCAAGTACATAGTTGTTCTACAGAGTTGTTGTTTTTTGGGGTGTGTGGTAGCATTGGGGACCACAGGAGGAATGACTCTGCAAACCAAGATTTGTCAAATTTGGGCCTCATCTTGTGTCCCCTTCTAGTTACATATGAACGAGTTCCCTGTGTAGATTCTCTATAGGCTGGCTGAATGCTGTTCTGAACATGCCGTGTACAGGTATTTGTGGATAAAGTGTTTGTTCTTGTGTCACTCTTGAGAGCATGGATGGATTATTGTACAATAGGAAGGAGGGGGCAGTGCTGCTGTCAGCATTGCTTCAGGTCTTCGAGGATGTGTAGTAGCTTGCATTATTTAAAAAAGGAAAAAAAAAAATCCAAAATTGACTTCTAGCCACAATGGTTTTTCCAAGGAAAATGGGCAGAACTCTGTTACTTTTCTGTGTCCTTCATCTTGTTACTGAAGGCATGAACAAGTGCTGACCAGTCTGAAGGCTTTCAGAGTTGTTCAGAGTTGCTTTGAATTGAATCGTGTTGGAGGTAAGATCAGGACGCAGCTTTTCCTTTGTCCTTGGCCTTTGTATTAAAGGGCAAAAGAGGGGTCAGGAGTGTTTTCCTGTTGTCTTGGTCTGGTATGTATTAAGCCTTGAGGCTTTGATTACTGACATTTAGTATTAAGATGAGGAAAAAAAAAAAAAAAGGATAGTAAGGCTGGCTGGCTCCCAGAACACCAGCTAAGGAATATTGGATATGTTGGTGATGAGACTGGCTATGCTGTGGTCAGGCTGAATACATGGAAGTGCAATGATTTTTGCCACCAGTTCTTATACTGCTGTGTGTGGTGGTGGAAGCATCAGAACTAGCAAAGAAATTGATGCAACAATCCAGAAACAAGTTTTTGTCAGATCTTGAGAGTATTTGATGGTGAGAGGTTTAAACGTCCCCTCTGGAGCTTGCCCCATCCCATTCCCTGTGAGCAGAGACCCAAGTCACTCTGGTTCTGCAAGCCTCAACTGTCACATTCTCGAATGCACTAGAGCACGGTCAGTGTACTTGGAGTGTCTCTGCACTAGCCCAGCTGCCTGCCACACGCTGCTTGGCATGCTGATACTAGAGACAGCCCTTGTACACCTGGTATGAGTATTACTTCTAAAAAGATGAGAAACGATTGGTGTTGCTTACATGGGGGCATGAAATAGCCATCAAAAACTGAAGAGATGAGTTTGCACTCCTAAAGAAAATATAAGTACTTCAACTTCTAGATAATTTTTAATTGTATTTCTGCCTAGAATCAAGGTATTAAATACCTTGTCACTTGAGGATTTTAAAAGTTGTGTTGGGAAATGAATTCTTCACTTGGCTGTAAGAAATTCAGCTGGCCCAAGACTAACTTCAAGATTAAAAAAAAAAAAATCATGTTTGTAATACATTACAGGATTGTTTGTCCTGAATTTTAAACCTTTTTGTTAAATTTGTGGAACTATGGAGGAATTTTCTAGAAAAAGTGAAATAAAGTAAGATGGAAAAGTAAAACTTCATTTTTTTGTTGTTTTATTCATTGTTTTGCTTCTCAGTGGACAGAAGGCTTCCCCCCTAGCATCTTACTACCTAAATGTTGTCTGTCAAAACAGAAACTGTTCTTGCTGGGGGCTGAAAGCAGCAGTGCAGGCATGGGGCCCTCCTGGGCACAAACCAGGCACAGCTGTGCAGTGCAGAGGATCTGCTGCAGGGCAGCAGCTCCTGGGTGCAGTGGGCAGCTGTACACCTTGATGTCATCACCCACCTGGCAGCAGCCAGAGCGCTGTGGTGCCTTCAGTCTGTCACAAACAGCTCAGTGAGGCAGAGTTCCAGCTTGGACCTTCCTCTGCTGTCTAGCTGTGACAAATTCCCCTTCTGCAGCCTCTGTATTTTGTTGCTCTCCTCTCTCTCCTGCTGAGGGCAGTGTCTTTGAGCTCAGTACTTACAGAGAAGGGTTCTTATAAAGCCAGCTGTGATAAGCAAGAGTTGCTTTTTGCTGCTCCCCCCACCCGACACCATAGACCTTGATCTCTGAGCATTGTTTTGCAAAAACCACTGAAGCATTGAGACACAAACTGCAGCGTTTATTTATTAGGCATTTCTCTGAAAGTCAAGACATTGCAGACTCACAGCTGAGACTACAGTTGCACAAGAGGGACTGTAGGGCCAATTGTGCGCTTGCATGGAGGTATGGGCGCAATGCACAAGTTCACTGAGCTGCTTGCTGGGGTAGTAATTCCAGATCAAGCCCTAAAAAATCTCCCTGCTCTGCTAACTGTTACTGCCTCCCACAGCAAGGTTTTGCTACCAGTACTGCAGGTACAGAGCCAGGCCCTTGCAGCTTGCTTGAGCTGTTTGCTCAATAATAGTGTAGTTTAATAGTGTAGTTGCTTCTCCCCTGCATGCCACTTCCAATCAAAGCACTTGATATCTCTGGCTAGTCCTCCTTTGTCCAGGGAAACAATATCCAGAACCAGAGTACAACTGTTCCACTTGTAATGATTTCTAGTTTGAAATAAGCAATTTTACAAGCTATCCTCCATTTGCTAAGGTGACTGAAGTCCATCCGGGCAGGGGGCAGACAGCAATACACTTTGCAGAACCACCCATGGCCTTCAGGAGCTATTGTTAATGTATGCTTCTGCACAGCTTTGATGGAGGCTTCTAATGACCTCGCTGTGGTGGGCCTTTACAGTGGCTGGAATGGCAGATTCGTCTGGAGGACTGATCAGCCCTCTAGCAATTCAGCGCCCTCTGCAGGCTCCACTCCACATGTGTACAGATCCTGCTTCTGCAACCCAGCCCAACAGCTCTGGAGTTGCCTATGTTTCAGGATGCACTAAACAACATCTCTATGATTGTAAGCTTACAGTTAGGTTACACACACACACACAGATTTTCAAATAATCCCTTTGTGGAATGCTTTCAGAATACAGTCCATGTATACTACTCTAGCACTATAATTTATGGTTTCATAATAACTCAAGACACTGAAACATTCAAAATATTGCACAGACCAACCCAGTAAATCCCAGGTTCCACATACAGACTTAGCCAGGGTGTGTAGTCACACAGAATTTGCCTTGTTTGACAGAAGATAGTTTGTTGGTAGAGAGATTTAAAATAATTCAGATGTCACCAGCATGCAATTAAAATGCATCAAGGGAAAAAAAGAAGTATACCACTATAAAAAGAATTTGCCTTCCCCACGTAGCTGGAAAAATGCAGTTCCTGATTGTTTTACATTCAGCTCAGGAAAAGAAAACTTTGGTTAAGACAACACACTATGAACTTATAAGGTAAATGCACTGCCCTTATAAAAAAAAAAGGAAAAGACAAATGCAAAGTAGATATTCAGGAATATCTCAGCATTTGAATATACACATAGGAAACCAGGCACAATCATATTTACGGCAGTAAGAAGGCCAAAAAATGTACAGCTAAGCAATTTAGGGAGTCTTCATGATAGCCAAACCTCATTTATTTCAAGAGAACCCACTGATTCCTTCATGGGAAGCCCAGGCTGACAGCACACTCGCACAACAGGGAAAGTTTCTACCACGTCACAAAGCTGCCATGTTACCGCCTAAGATCATTCTCTGTTGTGGTCGGTGTATCCATATAAAACTGATCGATTTGGTCTTTATACTTCTGTGCCACCACTGGTCTCTTCAGTTTCATTGTTGGGCCTGTGGAAAAGACACAACATGGGACTGCAATGGTGGAAGCGCTACAGCAGGCGTCATTTTGAGGCATAAATCGATATTAGATTGAAGCAAGCCTCGAGGAGGATTCAGAGCATGTGCGCACACATTGACTTCTAAATTGCTCTTTGTGATTAAAAACACCTCCCTTTCCCCCATGAACAGAAACAGCACAACCACCCTGCAACCGGCAATACAATCCCCAGAGTAAGGACTGCTGAGCTAAGTACCACCAGGCAGGGTCAGGAAGTCCCGAATAACCCATTCTACCTTCCCTGGCACTCCGATGTGTTCCAGCCACAGCAAGCAAGGTCCGGAGGTTCACAGGGTAAGCCTCAGTGCCCTGCATACTACTCACCAAGCTCTCCGCCAAAGAGAGAGAAGTCCTTCTCCAGAATGACCCACTTCTGGACTTTCTGAGCATTTGAGACAGCTCTCTCGTTGACTGCTGAAATTCCCTTCTGGATAGCTGCATAGATAGCCTTGTCTTTGCTGCTTATGATTTCAGAGACTTTTGTAGCCTTGCTGCCCAGTTTTTGGCAGAATTCAATAGCTTCTGGAGTGAGGTCATCTCCTGGCTCCCCACTTTCTACATCTATGTTGCACTGCAAGAGAAGTCATTTTATATTACTAAACACTTGATTCCCTTCACAGTACTAAACCTTATGGCCATAGGAAGCTGCCATGTCACTTTCCCCACCCACATCCAGTACCAGTTGTCAAATTAGATCAACCACTTCCTACATGCTTTATGCAAACCACTGCTTCAAATGAAAACTTAAGGCAATGTGCAGATGAAACACCTCCAGAGCTCCACATACTCAATAGCCACATTAATACCAAAGTACAAGCAGGGTATAGAACTCCTCATCCAAATTCTTCCTGTGCTCTCCCAAATTAGGAGAGGATATAGCAGGATCCTGCCTCTGAGGCCAGAGCTTTACTTCTCTACGCTCCACAGCAGCACCGCTGGCTGCTGGAAGATGACAGAGGCAGCACCTGAGTCATGCAGCACCAGCTCCAGAGTCTGGCACAGCATCTCGTGCACAAGGGCAAGGAGGGTGGCTGTCAGAGTCTCACTAATGAGCAATTACCACTGACCTGAGAAGCCACTGGCCTGCAAGGGCTCTCTGGTCCTAAGCAGAAGAGTCAGTAAAGGCCAACACGTGTCGCTGTGGAGTTTAAACCAGCATCTTAAAAAGAAGTCATGGACACCTCATTGCTGTCCAGACATCTCTGGGAGATACTGAAATATGGGTAAGAAAAGCAGAAGGTTTCTTGTTTCAGTCTGACTTCTGTGTCTTTTAGTACCATTTCTTTCTGCTTTCTGTCCGATACCATACGAGATAAGCAGTTGCTCCAAACAACAGAACCTTACTGTCTGATCAGATGGCAAGTGCTCACTTTTTTGTACAGTTACAAGTGGTGTTTGCAGCTCAGCTACAAGTCATGCTGCAAGATGCCTTTAGGCTCCAGCAATCATTGTAGAACACACAACAATCATCTTCCTCACGGTATTAGATGCATGCAAAATAGTCTCTATGTCTTCTCAGCCCCAACCCTGATAGATGCCCACCCTTTTGTCCATGAAATAGGCAGAATCAAACCCACCTTTAGTGTTAGAAGCATAGCAAGGAATTTTGCTTTGTCTCCAACCAACATTGCATTGCTAATGATGGGAATGGCCTCTTTTACAGCATCCTCAATTGGAACGGGAGGAATGTTCTCACCTCCTGCTGTGATGATGAGCTCTGGAAAAGAGTCAAATCTTGATTAATGCTTACAGCTCCCCCCTTCCTTCCTTTACAATCTGAAATGATTTTATAGCACCTTTGTGGCTACACAGATCAAATAATGAGTCTGTATCCCAATATCCAGGGAAGAAAGCAAACCAGAAAGACTCCAGCCAGGTGAGGAGAGATGAAACTAAGGTGTGCAAGTACACAGCATTACAAAAGTTGCTTTAATGCTCCACAAATGTTTGCAGCTGGAGAACACGGGGTTTGGAGTATCTCAGTACCATACCACAGCCATCTTAGGCTCTAGGGAATTCGAGTTGTTAACCACATTGTTCAGAAATTTGAGTTAAAAATTTGCTGAGGCAAAGCAGAGTTTTTAAAGCTATACACAGCATGTTATGGAGGAGAGATAAGCTGAAATCTTACAGATTTCTTAAAGCAGCCCCTTTGCATGACCATTTATCTCTTTTTAGTGATTGGAGTCTTGCATGAAATTAGATTTGTTTGGTGTTGGTCAGAGCAGTGTCCCAAGAGCTGTGTTGCTGCAAGCCATTTTCACAACAGCAATAAGCTATTGTTTTCCCTTACAGGTTAACTAGCAAAGCTAGCTGAAACCAGAGGGAGCTGGTAGTACACACAGCTGGACCCAGGCAGGTGCAGCACAAGTCAACAAAGCACTAACTACTGCCTCTGAAATCAGAGGATTTCTTCCTCACTCTGCAAACACACACTGGTTTCAGTGGTCAGCCGCCTTCTCCCATCACGTGCCTTGTCACATGCTTAGTGGCAGCACAGATTGTAGCTATATTCATATGAAAAACTTCAGAAGTAGTATCTAAAAACAGTATCTTCTGTGCAAGCCACGACTACACAACTACCAAGGTCTGACATATCATATCCTAGTACTGTGCAACCTCAAAACAAGCAAGCGATAGGCTGCATTACCTTTAATTCTGCCAGTGATGTAAAGGAATCCATCTTTATCACACTTGCCAAGGTCACCTGAATGCAGCCAGCCATCTTCATCAATTGCCTCTTTGGTTTTCTCTTCCATGTTCAAGTAGCCCATGAAGATGTGCCTTCCTGAGAAGCAGATCTCCCCATTGCCATCTTCATCGGGCTTATGGATCAGTGTCCGGCAGCCTGTCATTTCCTTTCCACAGCTTAAACAAAGACAACACAAACCCAAGGTATTTTTTTAAATTATTTTTGCTGTTCAGGTACTGAATTTAAGAGTGAGATTGTAGCAATACACACTCAATCTGAAGTGTCTGAACCAAGCCAGGCAGGCTTTCATTACAACTGCTTCAGCAGGGAACTTTAAAACTTAAGACATCTGCTTACATGGAAGAAACTACAGCAAATTGTTACTGCAGAAATCAGTGTTCACACCCATGCTTTCCATCTATTGCTCTCAAGCTCCTGAGCTTTGAGTTAGAAGATTTATGTTCTTGGTAGCTAACTTTTACTGATGGTAGCATTCACCTTGAATACTGGTGAAGACTGAACAAGCTGTTCAAAGTAACAGAGTAGTCTTAATGTCAAATGAATAAATGCAGTAAGGTAAACTCTAACCTACGTTAGTTACTGATTATTTCTTCCCATAAATGGAGAAGAGGAGGCTGAGGGGGGACCCCATCGCAGTCTACAACTTCCTCGTGAGGGCAAGTGGAGAGATAGGTGACCTATTCTCTGTAAACACCAGTGATAGGACCCACAGGAATGGTGTTAAGCTGAGGCAGGGGAAGTTTAGGCTGGACATCAGGAAGAGGTTCTTCACCGAGAGGGTAGTTGCACACTGGAACAGGCTCCCCAGGGACGTAGTCACTGCACCGAGCCTGACTGAATTTAAGAAGTGATTGGACTGTGCACTTAGTCACGTGGTCCAAACTTTTGGGCAGACCTGTGCGGTGCCAGGAGTTGGACTTGATGATCCTTATGGGTCCCTTCCGACTCGGGATATTCTATGATTCTATGATAAATCCCTTGTTTCCTCCTCTGTTCCTAGAGAATCCAGGCCAAGTTAAATTTAAGTAACACTGCTGGTGCCCTTGGCAGATCTCATCATCTGCAATACTTGGGCCAGAGGAACTGGCTCCCTAGCAACTTCTTACTGGCTGCAAGACTGGGGCTGAGCTGCATCAGGTGAGCCAAGCAAGCCAGATGCACCAGAAACCTTAAAGCAACTCTGTTCCTCCCAGTCAGCTGTGCTCCACTCACAGATAGTTATTTACCTGGTAAACTTGAACGCGTGAGGTAAGGAGACTGTGTGAGGCCCAGAGCTTTCGCTCATGCCATACAGTTCATACACAGGAATGTTCAGACTTAAAAAGAATTCCAGTGTCTCTCTGGTAATTGGAGCGGCTCCTGAGTAGCACCTTGTACAGCGATCCAGCCCAATGGCCTTTCGAACCTTCTTGTATACCAGGTGCCTGGCTAAGCGGAAGTTCACTGGGACTTCAGAATACCTGTGGAAGAAACATTGTTACAAGACCTCAGTCAGAAAGTAAAACTCCTTCCCATCCTCTTTCATCCATCTCCTATTTTGGCTTATTCAGCAAAATTGATGAATACAAATGACTCCTGCCTCCAGCCCTTGCTGCCCATCCTCTGGCCCCAGCACTACTTTTGGCTTTTAATGTCCACAAGTCAGGACTTTCATGTGCAATATAATTACTGATCCAATGCTAAAGCTCTAACATTCATAACACCCCTTAAGTGTAGCATTTAATTACCCATTCATCCACTTCAGGTTTGTCTGTAACCCGACTTCCTTGGCCCATGATGCCACTTTTCTTTTGAGCATTGATGATTTTGCACCAACAGATTTCATTCTTTCTTCCATTTTTTCCCAGACACGAGGAACTCCCAAAAACGCAGTTGGCCTCACCTCCCGCAGGGTGTCTACTAAGGTGCCCTGTGTGGAACAGAATTTTATAAGGCATTCAAAAGAGATATTGTACAGATACCAGGTCAGCACTGGTCACTAGCTAAGACCTACAACTGCTCTTAATTTTGAGGAATTGCTCATTTTCAACTGAAGTGTTGCTGCTGCTGAGTGCAAACAAAGCAGCACTGGGCAATACCAGTTTTCTTCCTGCCATGTTCCACAAGAAAAAAGAGCCCCAGAAGCATTCACGCTCAACAGTGGTTTTGACAAGACAGCAAGGGTCGATACTCTCAGTGCCCATGCTGACACAGCATCAGGACGAGTCGTTCTCTTTCCAGGACACAGACTTAATGGTGGTGGCATTTTGCAATATGGACAGAGCAAATACAAAGCTGTTGCTCAACCAAGCTATCAGGGCAGAGAACTGGTGTCAGGTGAGTCACCAAGAAGCTCCTAGTTGTGAAGTGCTTGGTCAGCTCATCATCCTGGCTTGTAACACAGAGTCAAAAGGCAAAGGTCAGACTGGCCACATTCTTCAAACCAATAGACCCTTAAATAGAAGTCTGTCACCGGACAAATAAACTAAGTTATCTCACGATTCTGAAGGCTGTGTTAAGTCAGCAAGGTTTGTTTTAAAGTGCACACCCCTAGCCACAAGCAGGTGGACAAGCATAAGTTTTTTATTGTCTTATGTTTTTACCTTTAATGCATCTGGCTGAGCAAAGAAAACTTGTGCTCCAAACGTAACTGATAACCAAATATCCGTCATCTGTGCAGCAACATGACTGAGAGGCAGATAGCTGACCACCAGTTCTTGCTTTTCTGTAGCTTCTGCCAGCTTTATGGAACGTCCTGCTGCTAACGATGTCCATGTCAACTGTTAACAAGAACACAGCTCTGTATTAAGTGGCAGCCCATTCTGAGCAGATATAACACAGAACGTGCAGCTCATGAAAAGAGCCAACAGCTTCCTGTGATCTTCAGATCAGGCATGTTCTTCAGCTGATCTCTGCAGTCCCTCAGCACCTACCTAAGGTCACAGTTCTTGGAATGGACATCTACACAAAGAGATACTTACGTTGTCATGACTGAGCATTACTCCCTTTGGCTGTCCAGTTGTCCCTGAGGTATATATTAGCGTACAGCACTGGTTAGGCTTCAGTGAGTCAATGATTTCACGGAGCTGAGTGTCTGGAACATCTTTGCCAAGGTCCATGAACTCTCTCCACTGTATTCAAAAGAGAAGAACTTGACCACTTTACACACCATTGGTGACAAATTAAATTAAACCCTTCGCTATACATGAAGAGAAGGGAACTGTTTTCAATGTCCAAACCTGCAACAGAAACTGACAGTCCCACCGTATTTTCTGTCACAAAAGGTATGACAAGGAACAGAAAAGGAGACAGATCTACCTCGAAGAAGCTTCCCAGCTCTGTAGGCGACCCTGGCATTCACTGGGAGTGCCTAGCAGGAGTAACTATGGGACCTGAAGCTGACTAAGAGAGGTCAGCATGCTAGCACCCTTCCCTTACAATATGGATTTATCAAGGTTTGAACAACAGTGTACATCTACCACTTCAGATAGGCAAGTGTTCCTTCACTGTAATCAACATAAACTTGCACTATTTATGACAGTCATGTAGAAGGTGATGGTTGCTTGAAGCTGTCAGCTAAACACAGCTGTTATTCATAAAGCCAGTAAGATGCCCATTACTTACAGAATACAGATTTGGTCTCTTCTCTCTTAGCTCTTCCCCATATTGGACAATAGCTTTCAAATGAGGTAGTTTATGCTGAACCTGTGTTAAGAAGAGAGATCCATGAGAAGGAGCAAATCCCACATTTTCTTTTTAAGCCTAAATTACCCACCACTTAACATGCAACTGCTACTTGCCATTTGAAGTAAAGCTAAGAGAATTTCATCTGACTTATTGAAAGAGAAGAGGGAAGCCTCAATAGAGACAGTAATCATTTGGACTGGGATGTTGCCTGCTGACCTAGGGGATTATTATTTTTTCATTTTGGCTTGTCATACTTCAAGCTCAAGGCTTTGCTACTCTGCGGAACCACCTTTTAACTTTAATGAGATTTAGCACAAGTGATCACTCATTGGGTTTGAACAGCAAACACACCAAGCAGGCTCGATCGGTTCACCTCTGCTTTCAGATCCAGCATTTCCCTCAGGTAGCTTTACCCTCCCGTATCTATCAACAGGACACAAAGCTTCCAGTCATTTAACAAGTGTATTTACTTCTAAGATTTTCTGCAGCTGTTTATGGTTTTCCACAACCACAATGTTAGCACTGCTGTTCTCTGCTACATAATGACAGGCCTCAGGAGAGTTTGTAGTGTAGATACCGACGGCAAGACCACTACAAAAGAAAACAAAAAGAAAAACACAGAATTAGAGGATAAGCAAAGCTGCTGGCAAGACAAAAAGTCATACCATTTCAAACTTTAACAGAGGAAAAACCACAGGCAGAACATCCCATAAAGCAACAACAGTAAGTGGAAAGCTTAGTTGTTCCAAGAGCAAAGGCTCATTTCTGGTCATAGGTAATGTCAGAACAGTGTAACGGGCCAAAGTTGGTCAGATGGAAGACAGCTATCACAGCACTGGATTTTGATACTCTAACCTTTTCCAACATAATATTTTAACCAAAATGCAAATAAGCATGTTTTTGGTTTAACCTGCTGTTCATTTTAAGAGAGAATGTGCTTTTTCTAGCTAAAATATATTTTTTTTGTCTTATTCATTATTAAGTAAAGAGAGTTTAGGTTCTAGCTACCCTCATTACATTCAAATATAAGCAGCACTTGTTTTGTTTTAAACCAAAAACACCCTCTCACATGAATAATGAAATTACTATCTGAAGGCTAGAGCAAAATGCATGTCAAGAGACAACACTCTTTCTTACCCTGCAAAGATAGCTCCAATATCAGCAATAAACCACTCTGGAGAATTAAATCCCAAGAGGCACACTCCATGGAAACGCTCTAGTCCCAGCTGTAAACAAGAGATGAGATTACAGCAATCTTGTTTGTCCTTTGAAGAATGCTTAGAGTTAACTTAGAGTTAACAGAGGCTATGAAAATCCAGCTGCTGAAGTCCAAGCCTTTCAATCTGCTTCAGCTGTTCTCTGGTTTTGCACCAGAGACAATGGAAGTATGTATACTGGAAGATCCCACAGTATGAGTGGAAGGGAAAAACAAACAAAAGAGTGTCCTTAACTATAGGAAATAAGATGATAATCTAATTCTGATGATAACAGGAAGAACACGTAATGTTTTCTTTCTCTCAATCCATCTTAACACCCAGCTGTACAAGTACATGGCTCATCCAGTTTGGTCATTTATGTTGGATTCATAAGTGTTCCTTTGAGTTTTTTCCTGGAAAAATGAAAATTTACAAGCCTTATGAGGGGTTTTGTCCAGGTTTGCCATGTCTCAAATACACCTCCTTAAAGGTTTTCCTAAATATTTTTTGTTTACTTGAATGTGGAAGCAATTTGTATGAAATTCAAACAAAAATACTGTAGTATTTAACAAGATGTTCATGGCATGTTCAAGTAATTCACAGAATCACAGAATATTAGGGATTGGAACAGACCTTGAAAGACCATTTAGTCCAATCCCCTTGCCGGAGCAGGAACACCTGGATCAGGTCACACAGGAATGCATCCAGGTGGGTTTTGAACGTCTCTGGAGAAAGAGACTCCACAACCCCCATGGGCAGCCTGTTCCAGTGCTCTGTCACCCTCACCATGAAAAAGTTGTCTCATGTCTCTGCTTAAATTAAGCGGAACCTCCTATGTTTCAGCTTGCACCCATTCCCCCCTTGTTCTACCATTGGATGTCACTGAGAAGAGCCTGGTTCCATCCTCCTGACAATCGCTCTTTACGTATTTATAAACATTAATAAGGTCACCCCTCAGTCTTCTCTTCTCCAAGCTAAAGAGCCCCAGCTCCCTCAGCCTTTCTCCATAAGGGAGATGCTCCACTCCCTTCATCATCCTCCTGGCTTTGTATTGGACTCTCTCAAGCAGTTCCCTGTCCTTCTGGAACTGAGGGACCCAGAACTGGACAGAATATTCTATATGTGTTCTCACCAGGGCAGAGTAGAGGGAAAGGAGAACCTCTCTTGACCTACTAACCACCCCCTTTCTGATACACCCCAGGATGCCATCGGCTTTCTTGGCCACAAGGGCATGGTGCTGGCTCATGGTCATCCAGCTGTCCACCATGACCCTCAGGTGCCTCTCCCCTTCGCTGCTCTCCAGCAGGGCAGTGCCCAACTTATCCTGGTGTTTGGGGTTGCTCTTGTGCAGATGCAGGACTCTACACTTGCCCTCATTATACTTCATTAAGTTCCTCCCCGCCCAATTCTCCAACCTGTCGAGGTCCCACTGGATGGCAGTGCAGCGTTCTGGTGGGTTAGCCACTTTCCCTGACACTTTACGACTCATCAACATATCATTTGTAAGAATAAGATACAGCTGATTCCAGCCATTTCAGCAGTTAAGCTGCTGACCATGAACATGTAGTATAATTCAACAGAAGCTCACCTTCAGAAAGCTTTTGGCTGCTTTACAGCACTCATCATAGTACATATTGTAAGTTAGCTTTATCCACTGGCCACCTTTCTTGGATGCAAGAGCATAATAGTCACCATATTTACTAGTAGCTTCCTGGAATAGATCATGAACAGTCTTTGGTGCCTCGCTGCCTATGCCCTGCTCATCCATCCTCAGTCTGACTTCTCCATCTCGTTGTGTTGTCCACACACTCGAGGGAGGAGGTGAAGAGGCTAGATTGAAAGAAAAATATTCAACATCTCATGTTTAGAAATTGCTTTCTGCCGTAACAGAAATATAAATACAAGTATTGAAGTAAAAGCAAATGCCAACAGCTCCCTCCCCACCCTTTTCCCCCACTATTTTAGAACAAGACTAAGAGATGAAGCCTCTAAAGCACATTCAAAATTTTCGTTTACCTCTCCTTCTGACCTAAATCTTCCTGCGACTTATTTATTTATTTATTATTAAAATAAGTAGTACATGATTACCTGGTAGATATGCATTAATCACTGATACTATTTTACTCCTTGGAGCACACCAGTGCTTTAAAGCCTATGTTCTAGAGACTTCTGGACAGACTACCCTGCCATTTGAATTCCCTCTTCCAATGTTATGGTTTTGTAAATGACTCTCATTTAAGTAATAATTTTATGCACATAACAGTAACTAAATATTCTCTCTACTTACATTTGAAACCAAGCTTGTCCATCTGAGATCCCTCTGTCTTAGTATCTTCAACTGTCTCAGTGTTGTAGACCTCAACAACTCTGCAAGGCAGAAGTAATTAGCACTGGATAGACTTTAGCACACTGGATGAAGAATGTCTTAGCCATACTCACCCCATCACTTAACTACATTAAGCCTTGCAAGTCAAGCAAAGGTGAGTGGTTTCTGATGTTTACTAGCCGGCTTTATTAATTTTACTAGCTCAGACACCAATGAAACACGCCCACCTTGGCAAGTGTGTGGTCTTTGCCTGCACTGCTTTTGAACATGTGTATGTCGCTCTAACTGTAAGACTAGCTGCAGAAGAATCCATGAACACAACATCCATGATGCAGTGATAATTTAATACCACAGGTCTGCTCTGCGTGCCTGAAACAGACTACAGCAGTCAGAGAGGTGGGAACAGACAGGGGCACGCAGATCTGGTGCTTTTCTCCGATCTGTGCTGTGCGAGCCTAAGAAAGGCGGCAGCGCCCCAAGGCCGTGTTCCCGTGCAGCACAGGCATCACCACAGTGACCCTGGGGAAAAACCCATAGAGATTTCCTGCAGAAAGCAAGGCCAGCTAAGAGCAGGAAATTGATTAACAGGAAATCCTGTTCTTAGGTATTCCTAATGAAGTTAGTACATCAGGCTTGCGCCAGATGTTTGTGCAGAAATTGAACAGGCACTCTTCAGAGACATCCCTCTATCTACTTCAGCTGTGCTCCTCACAAGGAGTTTGCACTGTGGTATCTGTGGTTGCCCTTTTTACTTTCAGTCTTGCAAGAGCCATTAAAACACTTCCCGCCTGCATCTGCAGAACAGTGTTCTTCCTCTGTCCTTTTCCAAAACAGACTTTCTCAAAGCCGTAAGTGATGAGGATATGGAATAATTAAGTCACACATCCCACTTCAGGCCACGAGTTGGAAGCCAGAACCTGTGAGATTTCGTATTCGAGTCTCTGTGCTCTGCCCACAGAATGACGTATTATCATACCTCCATGCTACAAGCAGACAACATTTGTTCCTCTACCCTGGGCAAACCGCACTTGTACCATCACCATAGCACCAAGGCCCAAGCATCATCTCTACCCAAGATCATACTCCAGAGAAACTAAAGCTCCATCTTGCCTTGCCAAACAGCCCTGAGATGGGTCCTCTGCTCAAGGCCATCATGGAAGCATTTGTTTCTTCATGTCAGCACTAGGTATTCACTCTTCCTTCACTGCAACTTCTGGTGTGAAGTTTCTTCCAAGGTCTGATTCCTCGGTGGTCTTCTAGAAGGGGTTGCGTGCCCGTGACATCACAGACATCATGGACGGGGTGGCCAAGTCCTGTCTAATGGTGCAGCTCCCTCACAGAAAGATGGCCTGCCAACTCTGCTCTCACTAAGCAGGACACATCTGGTCCCACACAGACCCTTCAGCCTATCGCCGGCATGGTGCCACCCAAGCCTCATACTTTCTTCCCCTTCTACTGGATCAAAGGGAAGACACACAGCACCTTGTGAGTTTCTGTCTAAGACGTAAGTTGCTTCCCTTCCTTTCACATTTCCTCTGAACTTCTTAGGGGGTAATCAACTCATGGCTTTGCACATAGGATAGGATTTAAGGCATGGAGCTTTGACTTGGCTACTCCTGTGTACTGTCCAAAAGCAGAATCACTTCTATCTAATCTGCAAACTACAAACCAGAGGTATGTAAATCAGCTTTCTTCTTTTCTCCAAAAAGGATTACAAGATCTTCTCTACTATGTATTTCCTCACTGTTACCGAGAGCATTTTCCAACACAAATTAACCCCCAGTTGCTGTAGTTCTGCATCATTTCTCCACCTGCTTTTGTGGACAAAGTGTGGAAGTGACTCAGTAATATGAGCAAAAACCCCTGCAGCTATTTCCGTTACGGGGAATCGAGTCATACTTTTTTTCTTCTTCTTACTACATATAATTCCAACTTAGCCCCCAAAAATTAGGTAAAGAGTGTCTTGGAAGTCTGACAGCTATATCCCATTACACTGTGGTGAGAATTAGACCCTTAGCTATCAACCTACTATTTATTATGAGGTTATTTAGATTTACAGCCAATCAGGTTGCCTAGAATGATAAAAATCAGCACAGGTACTGCACACAAGCAGTCCCCTAATGAGGCACACCTCTTGTTTACAGTGCAGTGATGCTTCCCAACGCATGTAGTACTTGCTAGGTATTTCACATATTTGATCAGTGAGATTATAGATTCAGCTTTTGGATTTTGGAATTAGAAAAAAAAATGTTCAAAATTTCTTCTAAAAACCTTAATGTCCCAATTAATCTAAGTAAACATGCTAGAATATGAGCTATATCCTGTGTATGCAGGTCACCACAGAAAAAAATAAAATCTTAAATTAGACAAACCTAGCTGAAGAGTTGACCAGTGCATCATCCAATGACACCTTGCAGTTTTCTTGAGCATCCACATTAAGATAAGCCGTGGGGACAGGTTCTGTAAGTGCCATACGTGCATCTGATTCACACAGCATTGTCCCTGTAAAGACAGTTTAAAATTAAAATAGAATCAAATACTACAGTGAAATCAGCTTTCATTGATGCAGCTATCTGACAAAGACAATTCCAAAGCAGATATAACTCAAGACTGATGTATTTGTATGAAATACAGTAAATTCTGTAAGTGGATAAAGTACCCTTCACATTAAGCTTGGCTTGTATGAAAAGCCTGATCAGAATTACGATTATTCATCCATTCTCACACCTGAAAATGCGCTTGACAATTACAGTTTTGAAAAAGCACCACTAGGTTAACGTTTATATTTGCACTCTTTTGCCCCGAACGTTAAGGCTTAGCTTTCAGACCTCCCCCAAACCACCCACCGCAGGGCTCCAGTGCAGCCTTACAATGCATTGCCTCGCCTTTGTGCAGCCTCTCCTCCCGCAGCCTCTCCGGACGAGCAACGACGTGTAATATCCTTTATTTTTAAACTAGCGCCCACGAGGCAGATCTGGAGCATTTATGTCATGTGCTCTCTGCCTCGCAATTGGAAGCAGCCAGTCACCCCACACTGCCGCCTAATGCGGAAGCTCTTTCTCTGCGCCTGCCCGCCGTGCTTGGCTCTCGGGGTGCGGGAGCATTGGGGTTCCTTTGGCTCTCCACAGCGTCCCCAGAGCAGCTGTTGGGGTACAGCCGCTGCTGCATGCCCACTCCCTGGGGACCTAAAAAACTGTTCTGGTAAAAATCAGCACTCGGCAGCCGCTGTGCTCTCAGCATCTCCTACGCTGCTTTCAGCGGGGGTTTCTGCACTTTGTTGCTACAGGGTTTCGTCACCCAAACGAAGCATTTTCTAATCCTGAAAGCAACGCAGATTTTATGTAAGGTTTATATTCAACAGCCTTTGATGCTCGTCACTTGACAGGCAGAGCTTTAATTGCTTCAATGAATTTCTAACTGACTGGAGATGAATCCTATTATCCTTCATCTTTTTAAAAAGAGGGTTTTAGCACACTATTTCATACCGACATTAGACAGAGCAATTTAAAGCAGGCAATGTGAGAAGCACATCTGGCTGAATGATGACAGATATTAACAAAAGGAAAGAGTCCTTTATCTGATGAATCTGACAATAGCTAAGCTGGGGCTGGAGGAGGATGTGCCTGTGCAGTGTCCTGCCCCTGACAGCAGTGGGTGAAGGCATGGCCAGCCACAATTCCCAGCACACAAGCCTCCTTCTATCCCAAAAAAGCACATCCCCTCCTCCCAATTCCTCATCTATGCAAGGACGCGATGGTGCTCGATTTGTGCTCTGCTTGCTACAGGCTACGATTCAGAATGCAAAAATAGTTCAATTCACACGCAGCTGAGAGAGGCACATCTTCAAAACCCATCTCTAAATCTCTGAGGTTCGTGGCAGACGTTGCCCAATGCCCCCATACTAGACTACAACACCATTTTGTTCTTTTGATAAGACAGCCACGAGAAAAGGTGCATTATCTGCATTATCTATACGGAGTAGCCTACTGCTAGCAGCAGTCACCCAGGCCATGGTAGAGTGGGTTTTGTCCCATCCCCAGCCTGGAGGAGCTCAAACCCACATCTAGAAGAGCATGTCGTTTTGCAGATGGTGTGGAGCCAGCCAGTGGCAGCATCACCACCCCTCCATCTCCTGGGGAGTCCTGAGAGGAGAAAGAACTTACTGGAACCAGCAGCCACGGGGCCTGACCCCGCTGCAGTGCACATCCCAGGGGTGACCCCAAGGACAGGGTGTCCCTGCTGGATCCACAAGCAAGCTGGATATGGCACGCAGAGTACAGACATGAGGCTGCACAGCCAGCAGGTCCTGGGAGATGCACGAGGGTATCACTGCCTCCACCATGCCCAGCAGACGGGGTTTTTCAAGGAGAATCCACATGTCAGTGCCATGTGGCCCCCGACACTGAGAGAACAGTTGCACCAGCAGGTACAAGCAGTAGCGGAATTTTTGGACACTTGTCCCAAGGACACTTGTGCCATGAAACATAAGAACACAATGCAGAAAGCCGAAGTCCAACCTAGCTGTGCAAGTTTTCTTTGTGAACACAGGTCACACGGATCCCAAGACAGTAGTTCATTTTCTGTAACAAATTTTGGTTAGAAACAAACCAATTGCCAGTACATATACTCTGATCAGTTCTGCTAAGCAATGTAGCAACAGCCCTTCATCTCGTGATGCTTTGTCACCTCCCCAGCTGCACTACACAAGCTGCTGGAAGACAGGGCAGACACACAGGCGCTCACAAGAGCCTGATTTGACTTTCATGGTAGCTCGATAGGCAGGTGAGTGGGATCAGGAACGATCCTCTCTTGCCACATGCTATTTCTAAGGGAAATAGCGCCCTAACATGCCACAGTTGGTAGGAACATGAGGAACACACACCCAAACAAAAGCCTGGTGAAAGAAACCGCCCTTGTAATTACAGCTGTGTGAAAGCTTAAGTTGTCCGACTGCAAACCACCTTCTGCTTGGAGGGCGAGCTGTATCCTACAAGGGCTGGAAGGATATGAACTACCTAAGGATATGAAAGCGCTGCAGAGCTGGACTGCAGGCACACTTGTGACAGCCAAAGCTACAGAGGTGAACATTTTGTTTATAACAGTCTGAACGTGCCTTCACTCAAAACACACACAGAGCCTCAAAACCAGCAGTTCAAGTTAAGATTGCCCAGTGCATGCGTGTGTTCATCAGTCACCCTAACATTTGCTAGCACAGGCCCCCTTTGCTCCCGGTTATTGTTTTATTTTCCTTGTGCTCATACTGGCAGCACTTCTGATCCTGTCCAGTTTTTGTTGCGCAGACCAGCTCGAGGAGACAGCTGCATTATCTCCCTCCCTCTCCAGATTTCCACCCAAACTGAAACTTGAACTTTTTGTTTTCCCTGAAGATTTATTAAGTGAGGAAATAGCAGCTGAGCAACCTGCTTTTCCTCTCCCAGATAAATTTTGTTTTTAAAAAGGCTGCATTATAAACTTCTAAGCACAATAAGTTTTCTCCAGGACAGCCCTGCTGACCACAGGCCAGCGTGGTGAAGTGCTGCAAGAAGAACACGGGGGAAATAAACCCCGGCCCCTGCGGGGTGAGCACACAATGCAGACTCTCAACGACTCTACTGCAGTACCTTCAGAGAGCTGAATTTCAGGTTAATAAAGCTGTCCATAGCAAAACCTTCAGTAAGTAGGTTTAGCTATGGAAAATCCTTCTGGCAGCTGGACCCAAGGCTTTCCTGCCCGCAGAAGAGGGCCGGCATGTGCCAGCACCACATGGCCAGAGGGCTCGGCGCAGGGCAGAGCCCAGGGCGCGCGAACCATCCGCCACATAAGCCAGCACATAACTGGTGGCTCTGAGTTTTACGCAGCTTGCTCCTCCAGAATGCCGGGTTATTATCGGTGAATTCCCCAGTGTGACTCACCAGAGGGCCGCTTTCTGAGTTCCTCTTTCCTAAACTGCTATCGATTTTCCTGCATGATCTGCACGCAGCAGGCTGTGAAGGGAAATTCCCTCACACACACACAAGAAGCACAGAAATGAGGCACAGAAACGCGTTCAGAGACGCGGAAGGCGCGCCCCTGCCAGCCCCCACCACACCCAGGGCTTTATTTCACTGCTGTTCAGGGCCAGCCAGACCCGGACCTGACGGCACCGCTGCTACCGCGGCATCTCCGGGCATTTCGGGCACGGCACCAGGGCACGGCTGGGGCTGGATGAACCTCTGGAGACGGAGCCAGCCTCCCCGGCCAGCAGAGTCACCCACGCGGGCTCTGCGCGTCTCCACAGCGAGAGCCCCCCGCGCCTCCTCAAGAGCCCCCTGGTGGCGGCCGCCCGCCCCTCCCCCACCCCCCGCTCCCCGCTCCCCTCACGCACGCCACGCGCGCGCGCTCCCCCGGCCCGCCCCGCGCACGCGCCGTTACCTCAGGAGCGGGAACGCGCGCGCGAGACTCCCCCCACCACGGCTGCCGCGCGCCGCCACGCGGGACCCTTCTTAAAGCGCGGGACCGGAGGGGGCGTGGCCAAGAGCGACGAGGCCACGCCCCCTTCCTCCGGGGTCACCTGCGGCCATCGAGCCCCCGGGGCTCAGAGCCGGGGGGGGGGTGAAACACGGGGGGGGGAGCAGCCAGGGCTCCGTGCCCCCCGGAGCTGGAAAACGAGAGCGGGGCGAAGCGGGGGCTCCCTCCCGGGCCCAGCTTAGTTTCCTTTTTTTTTTTTTTTTTTTTTTGTCACCAAACAAGCAGCGGCCGGGTGGTTTGGCAGATGCTAACGCCCCGGAGTTTCACTGCGGCCGGGCTGCAGAGCCCCAGACTCCTCTAAACTGCCTTTTTTTTTTTTTTTTTTTTTTTTTTTCTTCCCTGCAGAGCCATTCCCACTGCTACAGGGTGGGGAGGATGCGGCTGGGCTCCTGCCAGCAGAGCAGGGACACAGCTGGGGCTGCAGCCGGGGAGCGGTGCTGCTGCCGCCAAGCCAGGCCTGGAGCCCCACATCGCGAGGCCCAGGGGCTGTTCCTCTCCCTGCCCCTGCAAGCTCATCTGCTCCACGCGTGGCCTGGCCAAGCCCTCATATGGCCATGTTTCAATCCACACGTGGATTTACTCTGGAAAGCAAGGACACAGATGGCATCCGGGGAGTTGGCACGATCAGTGAGCTCAGAGGACCGCCAACCCTCCCACCCCAGTCATGCCCCAGTCATTAGGTAGCACCTTCTGTGCCGACGAGGGGCAGATTGTTCTCAAAGACCCAAAAAAAGATTCAGTGGCACAGCCCAAAGGTTAACTGATGGGGCAGGAGCAGCCAGTTCTATTTTTGGTAATGCCCTGAGCCAACAAGTGACCTTAGGCAAGTGGTTTTTTTTTGCTTGTTTATCAGAGCAAGGTTGCAACACTACCGAGGTAGATGTCAGTGTGTCTGCAAAACCCTCATCAGTCCCGGGGCCAAAGGGGACCACGCTGCTTGCTGGAAAAGGACCAGAGGAGAGCAAAGCACATGATGCAGAAACACAGGTGGTGCTCACGCATCTGTCATGAGGAGAAGAGCGACCATCCTGGCTGCTTGTAGAGGGTCAGCTCCTCCCTTGTACACAGGAGCAAGCTCTTGTGTACACGAACTGTTAGTGCTGACTGCCCTAGCCTTTTCTAAATAAAGATGAAGTAGTTGAGCTTGAACTCCTGGGGTGGTGAACTCACCAGAGCAACTGCACCCTTTGTCAAGTATCACCTTTGCTGGTTCTCTATATACAATTCATTAACTCAAGCAAGTCCCAGGGTTCTCGTTTTCCCAGGCAACCAAAGCAGGTTGGCCCAAGGAACGCTGGAAGGAAGCCCGAGCAGTGCAGAATCACTCACCCGAGGCGAACTTCTGCACTGGCTGGCTAGGCCAGGCTGGAAGCTTTTTGCAGGCAGCACTTCATTAGATCACCAGCACGAGCCTGATCTCACTGAGTTTTCACGCCATGAAAATTCAGGATGAATTGTATATGAATTATAAGTAAAGCAGACCTAACAATTTAAATTAATTGTTTAAATGATC